CAACAATCCACTCGTTTGTACTTGAATAACTTGTCACAATAAATTACTAGTTTGGTAAAGTAACATTACTAATTCCTGTTAAAAGGCCAATTGACTAAAAGTGAATAATCTTACAAATTCTGACTTTATATAATAAGTTATTGTTCAGTACAAATAAGTGGATTGTTGTGGAACTTATGGGTGAACCTCTGCGGGACGAGCGCAGCGAGTTCCGCAGCCATCTACTCACCAATATACTATTGAACTATTCAAATAAGACACTCACCTGAAACTGGCAGTTTTTGAACTAATGAGAATAATTGACATTTTAGTGAGTCAGGTTAGTATCGTACTTAAACAACGTATTAATGAATAGATGACTGATGAACTTATGGGTAAACCTCTGCGGGACGAGCGCAGCGAGTTCCGCAGCCATCTACTCACCAATATACTATTGAACTATTCAAATAAGGCACTCACCTGAAACTTGCAGTTTTTGAACTAATGAGAATAACTGACATTTGAGTGAGTCAGGTTAGTATCGTACTTGAACAACGTATTAATGAATAGATGACTGCGGAACTCGCTGCGCTCGTCCCGCAGAGGTCCACCTATAAATTCCGCAACAATCCACTCGTTTGTACTTGAATAACTTGTCACATTATGTTACTATAGTTTGGTGAAGTAACATTACTAATTCCTGTTGAAAGGCAAATTGACAAAAAGTGGATAATCTTACAAGTTCTGACTTTATATAATAAGTTATTGTTCAAGTACAGGGTGTTTTTTTCTGTATTGATGCCCCACCTATAGCCTTCACCTTTACAAGTAGATGAAAGATGTGAATACAAAAGTTGTACAGTATTGGCTAAATTTTTGAAATCCATGGTCAGAAACAAAAATCGAATGTCAGAAATGTGAAATATTGCATGCTTTCAGCTTTTTCCAAATGGGATGCCCTATATTTCGTTCTATATTCTTGAAAAGCACAATTTTCCGATTCCAAAAATATATAGTTTATCTTTATTTGGTTGAGCCGACTATAACATATTTGGTTCTAAAAATTTTAAAAATACTATCAGAGAAACCAAGTACCTCAAATTTTACCTGCAGTTTTCACCTGTATAGGTAGAATGGTTCACAAAATCAGTACATAGTAGAATAGTATTTTTACAATTTTTGGAGCCGAATATATGAGAGACTGTAACTTGGCTTACTTTAACTTAAACTACCCCCCCCCCCCCCCCCTTTCAAAGGGCCTGTATCCGCCCTTGTAACCAAACCGTTGTCTGGTAATAGTAAACAAATGACGTCATCAGGAAGATGATTTAATGAAGATTTGCATTATATTTAGGTATCCCAGATGACGTCATAAAAGTTATCAGGGAACCTGGACCAAACCCAAGAGGTTATTAAGTCTGGTAATGGTTAACAGATGACGTCGTCAAGAGAATCTAATGAAGATTTGCATTAGTTTTAGACATCCCAGATGACGTCATAAAAGTTATCAGGCAAACTACCCCTTTCAAGCAACCTTGAACCAAACCCACCTACTAAAACCTCATATACTTCACTATCGTCTTTTAGGTCAAACGTCAAACCAGTGTCAAAATCAAACAAATTAAGGCGAATTTACACATTAATTTAATTTACAACCAAACAAGAAAAAATGACGAAGAGAGTATAAAATCCGAAAATGTTGCCCAAAATTGTACAAAATCCATCTACGTTGACAAAATCACGTAGATAGTCAACATTGCACAACCCCGTTTCAATCCCTGGAAAGAAAAAGTGTGTGACCTTTAAGGAACAACGGCCTCTAGAACGGTATTGCGGGTCTTTAGGAGGCAAGCGCGCCACACCTCTGCCCTCGTCCAATGGGAGAGCGTAGCGTAGGGGCCCGACGTACCCCTCCTACGCCCCGCACCTACGACGTTTATTGAATGATTTTCACTTTAATACTTTGGCGGTTGTTCAGTCGTTTCAGTCATAGAAGCGGTCGCACAATCTATAGTCTATTCGTCCAAAATTCTCTAATAGTCGATTTTTTTTTTCGGGCGGAAATTATGGGTTACAGAAGAGGGATTCAGGCGCATCCTCAGGTAAGCGGTTTTTTTTTAAAGGTCTGTTTTCACAGAAATCACAAACCAGTAAGAAAAATTCGCTCTGACTGGTTTGTGATTTCTGTGAGAACAGACCTTAAGCCGGTCAAATTATTAGAAAATGCAATTTTACACATTTTTCTAGAATATTTTTTTTAGTAAAGTATACGTTGTAAGCTAAAAATACGGGATAATTATTGTGATGTGATGACGAAATTTTATCTAATCTTTTAAATACACGTTTAACATACTCTTGATAATTTTAATACCAAATATTTAGCCTTTTTTAAAACATTTAAAATAAATGTACCATTTGCCCTGCCCTTGAATTATAATATCAGATAACAATAAATAATATTGCAACAAATTTTTGAAATTATTATTCCAGCTTGAAAGGCGTGTAGTTTTTTAACGGAATTTGTGCAAGTCACCAATCGTAATTTTATATTTTGAAATTGGCGCTAAAATTTGACTTTTTAATGTGTCAACTATATGTCAAATAGTTATTCATGGCCAACTGCGATTAGGGGTAGATGTGGTAGTAGAGCTACAAAAGAAGGGGTTTTTATAGTGGTAAAAAAGTAAAAGATCTTTAGTTAGTTTTCTTTGAATATCTCAGCTTTCTTACATCGGATTAAAATAATAAAAATATGAAAATGTTCGCAATAAAATTCTCTACAAACCTGTTTCATTAACTTTCTTTCGTATCCTACAGGTAACCTCAAAAAGACACCGGCTATATTGCAATGTTGCAATATATTCCAAAGTTATAAGAATGTTGGAATAACTGATTAATTTAATTATCACAGACTTGTTAAACAGTTATAAATCAGGTGTAGGCTTGCTTTTCAGACAAAATAAACATGAAACCTGAGGTGACTGAACTGTTAGTAAAAACTTGACATACCTTTTTTACCTATTCAGTAACACCATTAGTGTATATCCTGTCAATAATTGCTATACCTATTGTCTTTGTATTATTCATTGAATCGATCATAAAAGGCTTCATTTAATTAATCATTCTTGTTTCCTAATACCATAGAAAATTCCCCAAAAAAAAAGCATGACATTAACCGGGACATTAATAATCCATTCATAAAAAAAACATTGATATACAATTACAAAAACGGAATAATAAATTAATTTTATCTGGACAGTAAAAATATTTTGTGAAGTGTTATCATTTAAATTTGAATATTTAGTTTTTGTGGTACAAAAGAAATAGAACTTTCTTAAATTGAAGCAAAATGAAATTTGGTTTACAAGTACACATGATCTTCTTCAACTTTTATTATTAATTTTGAGGTTTTTAAATTGTTCTGAAGCCTTTCAAAATATGCTGCTGAAAAGTATTTTGAAACGTTCTAAATGGCTTATCGAAGTTCTAAAGTGTTCTAACTTGGCTTGAAAAGTTTTGGAGTATTCAAGAAGTTTTTCAGTAATTTCTAAATTGTTCTAACATATTTTCAAGTATTTTAGAGTCCTATTGAACCTCCAAAGTGTTCTAAATTCTAGGATCAGTTCTAGAAGGTTCTCAGTTCTAAATTGAATCCTAAATTGTTCTAAAATAACTCTGAAGTTTCTAAATTGTTCCAAAATGCTCCTGAAAATTCTGATTTGGATTTGAACTGTATTTTTTCTCTATGCCCTTATTTTTCGGTATACATAATACATTTGTACGCAATGTTCTAAAATGTTTTCAAATTTCCTAAATGTCTATTACTCCAGAAGGCTTATAAGATTGTCAAGAATTACATTGGAAAATGTAAATATTGATTATTTCATTTCAAGTTTATCCAAAGTATTTACCTTGAAAAGTCAGTAGCTGTTTAATTGCCTTTACTTTTAATTATTATTCTTCTAAGTCAAACTTGCTGTAGGTATGCCAAAGCAGTTTATCGTCCCTGACCTTTAACCAAAAAATGTCGAAATTTCTACCATTATTAGCAAAACCAGACTTCAATAAAATTTCATTAGTTTATGATGCGGGTTTTATTTACGAAATTTACTTCCCAGAAATTGAAACCAATTTTATCATGTTGTTTGGCTTCAAATGATACAAGTGTTTTTATAGGGAGCTCTGAAACCCTAAATATTATTGATTAAGGATTGTTTACAAGTAGTTAAAAGGTCTCTATTAATATTAAATGAGTCAAAAATCAGTTAAAAGCTGTTGGAATCTGAGTGGTCATTATTTTTCATAAAAACTGAGATGGTATATATTTACAAAGTTTCCGATAAAGTATTTTTCACAATAAATGGTTGACTCCTTTTAACTACCTGGGCGTTTTGAAAGTGCCCAACCATTATCACAATGGGTAGTTTTATTGCAGTTATTAACCCGATACCATTTATTGTGAAAAATACTTTACCTACTGATGATTATTAGCAATGAAGAAGCACTAAAACAAATAAAACAAATAAAAAGACAAGTAAAGAAGTAAAATATAGTGAAGAAATAATTATGAAGAAAATTGAACAATGTCCCAAAACAAAAAACAATAAGGAGAAAAGTAAAAATCGAAAACAAGTTTCCAAAAGAGTAGGAAACGGTGAAACAAAAAACTTAAAAATTATTCGTTTTTTATATAAACAGGAAATAGGCTAATCCTTACAAAAACAAACATCAGAATTAATAATGAATAACTTCCGACATTCAAAAAAAAAAATTGCATGCAAAACTGAAGGACCTTTATTTATATAATTGTGTTGTGGTCATGTACATTTTTCAAGTAACAAATTCAAGGGTATCGTCTATTCACCCATAGTTTTTTTTTTTTTTTTGAATCCTTCACGTGTACAGATATTTGCCCACTTAAACCTTGTTTGCTTTATCGCCAGCCAATTTTATCAAACTGAGGAATTGTATTTATTTGTATGTAGATTATAAGTATACATAATGGAAAGTTTTTGTTTCAGATCAGAGAAAAATGCAGAGACTTGATCTACGACAACGATACTCTGAGAAAAATTGGGGAAATTTTTTTGGAACACATCAAACGGGGATTGGGCAAAGCCACTCATGACAAGGCTATTGTTAAATGTTTTCCAACTTATGTGCAAGATTTACCTGATGGAACTGGTGAGTAGAAATAGTAGGCTAGAATAGGTAGGTACTACCAAATAAAACATCTCAGAATCTGGGACACTTTTCAAAACTAGGTACCTCATGGTGTCCAGATGTTATGAAATTCGGTATTTTTGTAGTTGTAGTAATATACATTGAACTTGATTCAATAAATGTCAATTATCTAGAACATTCAAGTTAATAATTTATACATTTTTCAACCTAAATACATCCAAGAAAAATGTAAAGTTATAGCTTCAAATTCCTAATGTATTTTTAAGTGTTTAATTAATTATTCATTGAATTGTATAACACTACAAACTGGTACCTATTTATAGTAAAATGGCCTGTTTTTCAAGTATAGGTGGTAATTAATTAGCCTGTGGGATAATAATTGGGTGCGACATTATTTGCTTATAAATCTTATTAATTTTTATAAGCTCACACATGGCCTTAAATGTATTGCTAATCAACAATTTAACTGATAAGCTTTTATTATATACTTATCAACCAACAATTTTTTGTCCCTGATTAAAATATACTGTTCGTTTTCAGAGACTGGGAAGTTTCTCGCATTGGATTTGGGCGGTACCAACTTCCGAGTACTGCTGATCGAACTCAGCGGCGAACACTTTGAGATGAAATCGAAAATTTTCGCCATTCCACAGCACATCATGCTCGGTTCGGGCGAACAATTGTTCGATCACATCGCCGAGTGTCTGGCTTTGTTCGTCAAAGAAGAACAGGTAAGAATTTGTTCGTCTGAGAGTTGGTGAACTGTCAGAAAACATCGTCCAAACATATTTTCAATGTTGTTGTTCCAAGATAAATCGGTAATTTAGCTGAGCGATTGTTTGTGACAGTTTTCAAACTGTCAAAGACTCATGTGAGAACAGACCTTATGAATATTTCTTTGAATGTATGATATCACTGAATATTTGTTCTACTTCTCCTCAAAGTCAGTGGCGCACTAGATCACCCGTCTCCCCAGAGGGAATTAAAACTTTCAGGATTTATTGAGAATCATGAATTTTTTTCTCACTTTTAAATGCAAAAAATATTTCAAATGACAAATTTGAATAGAAAAACAGAAAGTCCTAGAAATTTTACCATAAGATTTCATAATACTTTTCCGAATTTCAACATAAACTTCCATAGAATTCCACCATAAAATTCAATGGAATTCTTGTACAAAATTCCTCGGAATTACAGTAAATTAAATTCAATTCTTCGGAATTCCGTCGAAATTTCTCGTGGTTCCATGAAAATTCCATATAAATTCTTTTAATTCCAATGTAATTTCACTGGAATTCCGCAATAAGATTTCAAGAAATTCCATGTATGTAATTCAATGAGAATTCCTTGGAATTATTTTACTCGACATTTCATCGAAATTTTATGTAAGCCGACACAAAATGAAATTATATATAATTGGACGGAAATTCTACAAATATTTCATCTTTTTTTTTTTCGAAATTCTACTGAAATTCTACAAAATTCTACAGAAATTCCAAATTCCATAATTTTTTTGAAATTTTACTGAAATTCCCCAAAACTTCACCACTGAAATATCCTGGAATTCATCAGTTTTACCGAATTTCACTGACATTTCCTGTAATTTCTTAGAACTTCCTCGAAATTTCACTAAAATTTTATGAGAATTTTTTGAAATTTCACTGAAATTCCACGTTATTAGTGGCAAATTTTTCGAAATTCCAATGAAACTTCAAAATTTAATTTATTTCCATAAGAATTTTTTGGAATTTCAGTGAAATTTTCTTTCAATAGTCAGGAATTTCTGGGAATGATAATGAAACTTCAAGTAATTTCTTGAAAAAACACCGAAATTCCTCCGAAATATATTGAAATTATATATCATCACATGGGAATTTTTCCAAATTTCACCGAAATTCCAAGTTTTTAGCCGGAAATTCCTCAGAATTCCACCTGTAAAATTTTCTCCAATTTTACTAAAATTTAGTAATTCGATGGGAATTTTTCGGAACTTCAATTTCACTATAATGCAATGTTTTTAACTGGGAATTCCTTGGAATAAAAATAAGACTTCATGTAATTTCATTAGGATTTTTCGGAAGTTCATTGGAATTCCTTATGAAACGATAAGAGTTGTTCAAAATTACACTCAAATTTCATGTAATTCCCTGACAATTCCTCAGAATTCCATGCAATTGCATCGGAGCTCCATATAATTTGACGAAAATTCCTCGGAAATCATGTAATTTTTTGACACTTTTTTAAAATACTTAATGTAATTTAACGAGCACTGAAATTTCTTGTTGGGAATTTCGGTGTAATTCAATGTAATTGTTTATAATTCCGCCATGCAATTCATTCAGGATTTCATGTAATTCGATCGAAATTCCACTAAAATTTCATGTTATTTCTCGAAATGTCATGTAGTTCGAGAGGAACTGAAATTTAACGTAAATTCTATGGAAACTCCGCAAAAATTTCACATGCCACATTTCACACCATAAAATTCAATGGCATTCTTAGAATTTTTTTTTCTTCGGAATTACAATAAATATAAGATTTCATGAAAGTCTTTGGAATTCCTCTAAAATTTCAAGTTATTCCGTGGGAATTCCGCGAAAATTTTAGTCAATTCCATAGATATTCCTTAGAATTTCACCAGAAGATTTTATTGAATTCCTTGAAATTTCATTAAAGTGATAAATTTGAATGGGAAAACGTAAATTCCTAGAAATTTTACTATAAGATTTCATAATACTTTTCCGAATTTCATCATAGGATTCTATGGAATTCCACCATAAAATTTAATGGAATTCTTGCACAAAAATTCTTCGGAATTACCTATGAGATTTCATGAAATTCTTCGGAATTCCATTGAAATTTCAAGTTATTCCATGAGAATTCCGTGAAAATTTTAGTTAATCTCTCGAAATTCTATTCAAATGGTAAATTTGAATGGAAAAACGGAAATTTCTAAAAATTTTGCTATAAGATTTCATAATATTTTTCCAAATTTCACCATAAGATTTCATGGAATTCCACAATAAAATTCAATGAAATTCTTGAACAAAAACTCCTCGGAATTACACTATGAAATTCTTCGGAATTCCACTAAAATTTCAAGTTATTCCATAGGGATTCTGGAAATATTTCAAGTTGGTAATTCCATAGAAATTCCTTAACATTTCAGCAGAAGATTTTATGAAATTCTTAGACAAAATTTTTTCGGAATTACAATGTAGGATTCCATGAAATTCCTCGGAATTCCACTAAAATTTCAATTTCAAAATTCCACAATTTTTTTTTTTAGCTTACCTACTGAAAATTCCCAAAATTTCACCACTGAAATATGTTTGAAATCCACAAAATTTTCATCGGAATTCGGAATTTCATTGACATTTCATGTAATTTCTTAAAAATTCCTCGGAATTCACTAAAATTTTATGAGAATATTTTGAAATTCCACGTTCATAGGCAAAGATTTCTCGAAAGTCCAATGAAACTTCAAGGAATTTTTCAAAATTTCATTTATTTTCATAAGAATTTTTCGGAATTTCACTGAAATTCTCTTTTAATAGCCAGGAATTTCTGGGAATATTAATGAAACTTCAAGTAATTTCTTGAAAATTCACCGAAATATATTGAAATTTCATGTCATTACATGGGAATTTTTCGGAATATCACCGAAATTCCATGTTTTTAGCCGGAAATTCCTTGGCATTCCACTTGTGGAATTTTCTGGAATTTTACTAAAATTCAGTAACAACAATGAAATTTCATGTTGGGAATTTTGATGTAATTTCATATAATTGTTTAGAATTCCTCCAGGATTTCGTGTAATTCAATCGGAATTTCATTGAAATTTCATCTAAATCGTGAAGAACTATTTAACGTGAATTTTATGGAAACTCCGCAAAAATTTTACATGTAATTCCTTTTTCAGAATAACATATTTCTATCGAAATTCCACTAAATTATGGAATTCTGAGAGACTTTAACAGATTTTTGGGGATTCCAAAGGATTTTTGGGAATTTCCAAGGAAATATTTTTTAGGAATGTCAATGATTTTATGAGATTTTGCAGGATTTTTTTGGTTTTAATGAAATTTTGTAGGATTTTATGCAATTTCAAGAGATTTTGTTAAATTTTTTAAGGATTTCAAAGATTTTAGGGATTTTGAGTAGATCTTATGAGATTCTCTGGGATTTTGACCAGTTAACCACCCCTAGAAAATTAGGATTTTTTTCTTACTAAAATGCAAAAAAGCATCAGAGAATCTTGAAACTTTCAGGATTTATTGAGTAGGGTAGCATCCATAATAAAATAATTCGATATTTGAATGTATGCATCGAAAATTCCCAACTGAATAATCCATTTTTTTTTCTCCTCAAGGTCCAACATGAAACTCTACCTTTAGGCTTCACCTTCAGTTTCCCATTGTCGCAAAAAGGCCTGACCATCGGCATCCTGGAAAGGTGGACCAAAGGCTTCAATTGCTCCAACGTGGTAGGAAACGATGTCGTGCAAATGTTGAACGAGGCCATCGAAAGACGTGGGGTAAGAATACATTTTTTGATTATTATTACGAATTAGAAAAAAAAATTGAGTCTCTTTGATGAACAAATTCTAGGACGTTTCTATAGACGTTATGGCAGTACTCAACGATTCTACGGGTACTTTAATGTCCTGTGCGTGGTTGAATAAAAATTGCAGGATAGGCATCATTATTGGTGAGTCTTTGTCCTATGTTCATGGGGCATGGCTCGAAAGTTGCACGAAAATTACCAATTAAGCATACGCATCTACAAAGCTTATATTATAGTTTAGGATTGCATGCAATTTCTTTTATTATAGGACGTAAAAATCGAGGTTTGCGCCATCTTGAATGATACCACCGGCACCCTTATGTCTTGCGCTTGGAAAAATCACGATTGTAGAATTGGACTGATTGTTGGTATGTTAAATTCTGCATTATGTATTTTGCTTATGCATGTTATTGAGAAAATTGCTTTGAACTGAAACCAAATATGTAGTAGGTAGGAATACCTACCCTACCTAAAATAGAATAAAATTTTATTTATATAAGTACAGACAGTACCAGGGTTACTAGACACATAGGCTTCAATGGTAGGTACCAGTTGATTGATACCCATATTATAGGTCACCGCATGTTATTAACAACGAATATTGAGGCTGGAAAATTGAGAAATGTAGAGAGGAAACTTAAGAATAATTGGTAAACAACACCTCTAAAACGTCAAATAAAAAAGTTACCTATTGGTCAAAATGTGGCCAATGAGCCTGTACTTGCAACATAAATAGCTGATAATAACAAGGTTCTTTCAACTGGTCTTTTTTTTTGAAGTACAGCACAACACCATTAAGAGCCAGTTTCACAAACAGCGGTACCAACAAGATACTGGTATATCTCATCAGGTTACCACCAGTTGTGAAATTGGACCTATAAGCTTCAAATATTGTACTTTCTTGTTATTGCAAATAAAACCTCCTCCTTATCAAAATGCCAAAAATAAATAATATTTACCTTCAGCTTTAAAACTAACTTATCTTGTGGTAACAAAAATACAATTAAGTAAATGATAATGAACCATATTTGATAAAGATGAAAAATTTAGGTACTGGTAACAACGGCTGTTATGTAGAAAAACAAGAAAACGCCGAACTATTCGACGACGTCGACGTAGGATCCGGCAAAGTAATCATCAATCTGGAAATGGGTGCCTTCGGAGACGACGGAGCCCTGGATTTCGTCCGAACCGAGTACGATCAAGACGTCGATAAGAATTCTATTAATCCAGGCAAACAAATGTAAGTCATTTGACAATAATATAAATTTTCGTTGACGAATTTGTTCCATTTAGACAAGAAAAAATGATTTCGGGAATGTACATGGGCGAACTAGTGAGATTAGCTTTAGAAAAATTTACCAAAGAAGGGCTGTTGTTTGGCGGCAAAGGCTCCGATATGTTGTACGAACGCGGCAGGTTTTACACCAAATATGTGTCGGAAATTGAAAGCGACGAACCTGGAATGTTTACTAATCAAAAGGAAATTTTAGAGGAATTAGGTAAGAATTTGTCTATTTATATTGAGCATTGATGAGTGAATATTTACATTTACCTAGGTCTTAAACATGCAACCGAACAAGATTACGTAAACGTCCGATTCATTTGCGAGTGTGTGAGTAGAAGAGCAGCTCATTTGGCGTCCACGACCATCACCACCCTCTTGCACAAAATGGGCGAGAAAAAAGTGACGGTAGGAGTTGACGGGTCCGTTTACCGTTACCATCCTCATTTCCGTAACCTGATGATGGAGAAGATTAGAGAGTTGTGTGATCCCAGCATTGAAGTAAGAAATTCATTTATTTTTTGATTCTGATTTCTCAATAATTCTAAGAGTGTTTGATTGCTTTTTTGTTCTTCTTTAGTCTGTTATTATCAATCAATTCAATCTCCATCGGTTCTGAGTTTTTCTCTATCTTTCTTGCAAGGTATCCTGAGTATTTATTCTGGATAAATGCAACTTGCTTCTCCTTCTCATCCAATAATTACTCTTTTTGTCATAGAATCCCTTTCATTTTGTTTTTGATTGGAAAAACTTGAAATTTCATTATGATATGCTCCATGTTGAAGAACATTCTAACATCTTTATGGAAGTCTTAAGACCAGTCATTTATTGTTATATTTTTAAAAGATGTATGACAGAGTGTCAATGGATTACTGAAAGGTAAAGCTAATTGGACTACATGGAAGTACTAAATGAACATTCTTCTATAAGAGGTATTTCAAATAAAGTTGATATTTTGGTGCTCCCAGTTTTGAAAGAAACTGCGTTAGCAGTTGAGATTGCTGCGCATGAGGCAAACCTGGATGAGTTTCAATACTGCAGATTGTAATGCACTTCTTGCTCTTACAATAAATATGACACAAGATACCTTGCAAAAAGTTATGAGGTTTTCTACAACAAGAGAAGTGTGGGTTGAATTGAATAGGCTCTTTGATGGCAATGTCGAGGACAAAACCTATGATGTTTGCTTAAAATTCTTTAGCTATGAGAAGAAAGTTAGAGATGATATGGCAACGCACACGTCTAAGCTCAAGAACCTCTGGAATGAACTGCAAATGAGGTTATCAAAAGACAAAATCATTACAAATAAAACATGTAATTCTAAGTGACTTGAGCTGCTGTTAGTCTGTAAGATTTTAGAAACTCTACCCTAAGACTACTTCTCCATCAAGTCAAGCTGGATGTTAATGTCGAAATCTGACAGGACTATAGACAATTTAACAAATCAGCTTTATTCTCATGAGAAAATATTATCAGACAAGAATAATGAAAGTCATCAGGAGGCATTACTTGCAGAAAAGAAAAGCAGCTCGACCAGTATAAGAGAAAACTAGTTTGCAATTATTGCAAAAGAGAATGTCATAAGATTAAACAACGTATTAAATGAAAAAAAGATGGTAGACCTCCGAAACCAGAAAGCTCAAATTCAAGAAATAACAAAACATAGAAAAATAAGGATACAAACATGATGTTAGTTGCCTTAACAAGTAGTGTCTTATTTAGTGAATGTGAGGAGAATAGCTGGTTTGTGAATAATGGGGCTACAAGTCATATTACAAATCGAGGTGATATCTTTAAAACATTTGAATATTTTCAAGATACACACACCATAACGACAGCGAATGGAGAAACGGTTAGAGCAGTTGAAAAAGGAAGTTTTCTAGTACAAACAAAAGTTCAGGGTTTACGTCAAGTACTAAAAAATCCAGTTTTATAGTTGGTGGTAGAACCATACTGACAGGCTGTGCTGACAGGTGAAAGAAGTAGATTTGGAGAACTGTACAAACTAGCATTGCAGATCATAAAGCCAAAGGAAATAGCTCAAATCAACATATTTTCAAATGATTACTTATTGTAACTATACCATGAACGCTTTGGTCATCAAAACAAACGAAACATCAGAGATATTTTGAGTCGTGAGTTTGACCTTAAAGTGGTACCTTATACAGCGAAATATGTGAGGTATTAACTTTGCCTCAATTCAATCGACCTCGTATCTCTTATGGTTTCCGAGATCCCCATGCACACATTCGAATTTGTAACACCCTGTAAGAAAACTTCGAACAAATTTGTATTCAGGCGGATAGGTAGTTCATTTTTTGGCAAGGAGCGTCTCCACTCCAGACTTGAGGTTGAAAACACTGAGATTGTTGCATAGGCATCTCACCCATCCCGAGAAGAGGTACATGGTTGAATTGAGCGCGAAGCATTGGCTACAACATGATCTGCCAAAAAAAATTCTGAGAATTCGGGTACCTACCTATCCCCATTTTGATACGAAGAGTAGGGATAATATGTGATGATGATGTGATTCGAACACACAACCTTCTGATTTGGAGTCAGACGCGCTACCAATTGCGCCACAAAGTCAATTGTCTATTTTTTATTTTTATCTATATGAGTGGCGCCCACATTAATAAGAGCTTGAAACAGTTGTCACTTTACTTAGTATCATCATGTCGGTTGATAAGTTTGGACGTTCGCAGCGCCTTGGTGTGGTCCGTACACCTCCGATGGGAGTTATGACATGCAAAATCGAAGCAACGTAGAAAATCCTGCTGGATCACAAGATTGTGCTACAAAATCCTACACAGATGAAAAGCTTCAAGAAATCTCAGACACCTTCAGAAGAGATCTGCAAAACTAAGTGAAAAAAGTTAGTGGCCTACCCTCACAAGAAGTCTTTGAGAACAGGTTCAAGAAAATAGAGACTTCAATGAAAGACAGTCAGGATAAAGTTCAAAGTTTAATAACTAAGAATCAGTCTATTGAAAATGATATTAAAAACAAAATTGGTTGTACGAATATCTGCCTTAGAAGAACAACATAAGCTGTTTAATGTAACGAAAAATTATATAAGCATTGGTGACAAGAGAATAGTTAGAGCTGCAAATGCTATAAACGACAACGACTTTAAAGGTCAGGTAATCAAAATGATTAATGAGAAGTTGAAGCCACCTGTAGATCCAGCTGTGGATAAAAAAGGAACAGGAAAAGGAAACAAAATTTAGCGCAATAATTGTCTACGTGTATTCGTTAGTCTAGTTTCAGCTTTTGAAGATGTGTGATCAATTGTTGAAATTCCTATCGGGGAAAAAAAATATAGAAGACTGTAGTGCTAAGGAGTTCAAAGATTTACCAATTGGGTTTTTTCTACAGTATGTCGATAGTACTGCACTTTTAAATATTTGGGGGAAACTACCACTTGAACACAAGCGTGCTTTTGAGTTGCAAGTGAGACTGCCCTGTTTCATTCATTACAATAGACCTGATTGGAGAACGCACGTAGGTGGACCTCCCTCCTCACTAAACCAATGTTATTTCTGTATAAGAGCTCTGGCCAAATATTGGATGTTTCATTCATGTAACAGCGATGGTTTGGCTCAGTTTCAATTTCATCGCCCTCGCAGCAGTGGTTCAAAATATTCTCTACATACATCCACCATCAGATGTCCGAAATATCAATGCTCAGCTGAAAACTGATAGGTAGCTATTCCAACGATTTATGGATTCCGCTTTACTACCGCCTCATAGACAACGATCATACACGCAGTTTCCAAACAGTACCTACTTCCAGAGTCGCGGAATAGATTCTGCCAGTATAAATTGCAAGTGGAATTCCTGAACAACGGCATTTTAGAAAGCAGGGAATGGACAACTATCGGAATTGGTCAGCAGCAAGAAACCATCTCTAAAATCCTCTGTAGAAACGAAACTATAAACTCCACTTCAACCGATTCGAGACCTGATGCATCTATTTACTCAATCTATACCTGTTTAATAACCATAGCTGTAGTTTTTGGTATTTTATTGTCTAGAATGTTCTACCTAATTATAGGAAAAAGCAAATGTGATTATTTTAAGGTTTAATGAATAAAATTTTACCGAAAAATTGTGATTTCATAGAACTTCATGGCCCCAATTGCATCAAATAACACACAAACGGGGGCACCTGAGCCTGGGAACTTTTTCGATACCGTGGGAAAATCTCTAGATCGGCAACGCCTTTGATCTGAAATTTCGGGGGTTTGACCCGGGCCGACCTCAAATTTTTGAGGGTTTTCCCGGAATTTGACCGCAGCGAGAAACCATCTCCAAAACGCCTCGGACACCTACAGCAGGTACGGATAATTACTTCGGACATCTACAGCAGGTATCCGAACCTAGATGGCGCATCATACGGCAGGTACCGATAATTACAAAAGCCCCCGGGGCTATTATAGGCAACTGAACCTATGGCGCACCGGACACGTGCAGCAGGTACCGATAGATGGCGCGTGCAGGCGTGCTGGAAGCTCCTCCGGAGGACGTAGGTTGCGGAAATTCCATATTATACCTACTACGAACGGATCATGAGCCCCTTATTCAAGTTCTACAAATAAAACCAATTGACGACTAGACTCAATAGGAAGGTTCGACATTTTTTGTTATTCTTTTATTTGAATTGAAATCGATAAATTTGAAGTATTTATGGTAAAATGCACAGGAAAAAGTTTGGAATGAGAGAAAGAGCAAAGAAAGGTACCAGGAGAACTCTTACACACAGATGTTTGTGAACCTTTTGAAAAATCCAAAAGTGGCTGTGGATACTTCGTTCGTGCTCTTCAAGGATGATTTCAGTCGTTATCGTTATTATGTTTACTTTCTGAAAGAAGAATCTGAAGTTGCGGAAAACTGACAATTATGTTAACTGAAGTAAAAACAGTAGGACATACAGTGAAAGAGCTACTCTCAGATAATGGTGGAAAATTTGACAATGGTCAAGTAAGAAAAATTCTACACCAGAGCAAAACGGTTGTGCAGAGCGAGATAATCGTACTATCGTTGAAATTGCTAGACCCTTCATGAATACTAACTAACTCATAACTTCAACGTTGTCATTGTTGGAAGACCCAGTTGGAACTTCTCAGCAGAACAAGAAACTAAAGAAAACATTGAACAAGACGGCGAAGAAGATGATAGTTTGAGGAATCATAGTTTTTCTGACACTCGTTCTGACATCTTAGTAGAGTGGTAGAATCACCAAATAATGACATTTCAAAAGTAGTCCCAAATGTACCGAGTAGACAACTGAAAGATAGAAATCATATACAAAAGCCTGCCAGGTTTGAACATTTCGCTATGATGGTTGCTGTAGACATTATGGAAATAAATGGGCCAATTACGTACCGAGAAGCTATGTCCAGTCCAATAGAGCAAATGACTGGAAAATGGCTATGGGAAGAGAAATAAAGTATTTAGACTTTAGAGGAGAATTGTGTTTGGATTTTAGGAAAGCTACCCATTGGTAAGAAGGCTATACCAAATAAATGGGTAATCCAGATGGCTCTATAGATAAATTCAAAGCCAGACCAGTCGCAAAAGGTTATTCACAGAACAGAAGAAATATCAAGATTATGATGAGACATTTAGCCCAGTTGCTAGATTTGCTACAATATGATCTGTTTTGGGTCTATATGCCAGTGAAAATTGAAGTCTAAGCCAGTTTGGTGTATGTAGGCTGTTGGAGCATTACTTTACCTGATGTCAGGATCAAGACCACACATTTCATACGCAGTCAGTGTGGTGTTAAGAAGTTTGGAAAATCCAACTCAAAGACTTTGTCCAAGTAAAGAGAATTTTCCGTTACATTCAAGGAAGATTCAATTATGGTATCACTTACAGGCCAAGAACCAGAAGAGGTTACCTACAAGGTTTTAGTGATGCTGATCATGGAGCGGATTTAAAAACAGAACGCTCCACAAAGATGTGGTATGTATTTATGCTGGAGGTACTGTATCCTGGATGAGTCAGAGACAACCTTCAGTTGCCATTTCTATAACCGGAGCGGAGATTGTTGCAGCCAGCTAAATGAACTTGTATGGTTAAAAAGATTATATGAAGAAATAATAACACTGAAAGAAATTCCAGAGTTATTAGTTTACAACGAAGCAGCTATTCGTTTGGCACAAAATCCTGAGAACCACAAGAGAACCAAACACATTCAGATTCGACATTTCTATGTGAGAGAGATTGTCTTAGAAGAAACTTTGAGTGTACACAAAACGTCTACAGAAACTAATCACAAAAGCCTTGTTCAAACCAAGATATGACATTTTATGTGACAATATGGACCTCCTAACTAATATTTCTAATGAGGAAGATGTTGAAGAACATTCTACATCTTTATGGAAGTCTTAAGACCAGTCATATATTTTAAAAAGGTGTATCCAAAGTTTCCTCTTTTCACCTTGAAAGTTTCATTATTTTCAATTAAGTAGTTTTCTAGAAAAAAAAAATGCCAAAGGATGTCTAATTTTGATTTTCTTTAATTTTTCTTGTGGTTATTTTCCACTAGAAAGGTTTGAAATTCTAGCATAATAAGCTCCAAAGTTTCCCCTTTCTTCCTCAAAAGTTTCATAATTTTCCCCTGTCACGAGCCCGAAGGGCCGGAGTTTTTAAAATAACGAGCCCGTCGTAGGGCGAGGCTTTTTCCAATCACGAACCCGTAAAGCGAAGAATAAAACTCTCGCTTTACGAGCTCGTTTTTGTTTTGTTTGGCTGTGTCAAATTGGTACTGATTGGTACTATTGTTCTAGTTTGACCTGATGCTCTCCGAAGACGGTTCCGGTAGAGGTGCAGCCCTAGTAGCAGCAGTGGCGGCCCGTCAAAAGAAAAAAGCCCTAGCCACATGAATATAGTAAAATTTAGCCGTCTGTACATACTATAATAATAATTTTAAATAATGAGAAAGGCCCATAAAAAGTACGTGTGTTTTCAATTATTTTGTTCCTAAATACATTTATAGATTGTGACGTTTAGGGAAAATTTGAACATGCTAGCAACAGTGTATTAATTTAATTTTCCCCAAAGTGATATTAGTGCTTATACACACAAAAAAAAAATCTCTTTAGAACATTATTTGGGCTCTATAGTAGTTGAAATTTTATTATTTTTGAATAGGATTTATTGAATATTTTTTTATAAATAATTTATCATTTATCATTGAAAATTTTCTCTTGTTACTAATTAATAAGCATTGGCCTTACTTAATTGTCCTTTTGCTGTATTAATACTCTTTGTTTATTTATAGATTTTGTGTATTTTTTTTTTGTTTCAAATTTGTGCATTGTTTATTAATATTTTTTATTCATTGACATATTTTTTTAACAACCAGACATTATTAAATGATGCACTGAAATAAAGAATAACTGCCGACATTCTTAGGTAGTCATTTTTAACAGTGTTGCCGTCTGTCCTCAAAAAGATATTTTTTTAAGTTGTTTTGAGTTTATAAGAGAAATAGTTACTTAATTGATTATAAATAAATAAATAAATAGCTGATAGAGGCAAATGGTTTTTTATATTAAAAAATGAAAACTTTATTATACTTAATTGTCATATATTGTTTGCCCAGCGGATCTGAGTCTACGGAAGGAATTCGGAAGTAAATGTGCCATGTTGCCACGTTTATTTATAAAAAAGCGAAAATACTAGGGATGAAGTATAGTTAATTTGAAAATCCATTTTTTAATAACAAAATATTGATACAATAATAAAACGCTAAATATTTTAACGTGGTTGTTAGATCTATCCTTATTTTAATCCTGATTTCTTCAATTTGGTCTATTGTAAAAAATAAACATTTTCTAAAAATACCATCAGCTTTTGACAATTTGGCAAGCATCCGTCCTGGATGAACCTGATTGGTGGAGTTTTTGGCAGGATCGCCGTTGTCATGGGGAACCATACGGTTGTCAATGAGCTAACGTCACCTTACGTCTCGCTATTGGCCAGGGCTCACGTCATTTTATCCTCCCATCTTGGAATATCGATTTATATTGAAATATCCAGTGGCGAAGATTTGGTAATTGCTGATTTTCGTGTACGAGTTGCAATACGATAACACTTACAAAAAGTTCCGCACGCAGCTGGGTATTTTATGAATGAAATCAGCCATTTTTTTTGACAACTGCATTCCCCTTACCGTTGCCCCGTAGACACAGATTCGCTGGGCAGACATTATTTAATAAAAAGTTTAAATTATTATTGTGTTGTTTTTCTTTTTCCAATCTTGTGACAATAATTATTTAGGAACATTCTCTCTGCTGCTTGATTATCGAACATTTCCATCAATTAGGCCGGCATACACACACGTTATTTCGCGCGGTTTATCGTGGCATGTTGAGACGTGGCGGTTAGCATGCGCGAAAGAACGGCGTGGCAAAAAAAGCGTCATGTTCCATACACTTGACAAAGTATTCAAATGATTTAGCATGTGATTACGCGGGGCAAGGAAAAATCGTATGTGTGTGGGCAAAAAGTGTCATTTATCCTGTCATTTGAAGGGCATAAGGTCATGTACTAATTTTCAACGTGATAGTTTGCGACGTTCATGTTTTCGTACTAGCCTCAAAACCGTGACGTGGAATGGCGTGTGGACACGGGTGTGAACTGCACTATCATGTACTTGAGTACTGACGCCACACTCCAGATGAAAGCACGTGTAAAATCCCTCTCCATTCTATCATTGCGTGTAACCCTCGATCCTCACTCACGCACATGATTTTTCACAGGTTTTTGCAGATGATTTATCGTGCCATCTGCCATGCGAAATAACGTGTGTGTATGCCGGCCTATTACTTCTCAAAAATTTATCATTTCTTATCCTTAAGTCCATTATATTATACCTGTTAATATTTTATCAAATGATAAAGCCATTTATAAAAATACAATCAAATTATTTTTATATTTGCCAAGCCGATAAGGTTAACGATAAGGAAAACGATCCAAAATCAAAAGGTTCAATAGCACTACAGCAAAGATAATGAACAAATAATAAGATTTTACTTTAGTATGAAAACAGTACAATATAAGTTGTTGGTAGAAGTGTTTTCGTTGAGATTTGAATAGGTAAGAGAAGCTGTGTTATTTTGATATTTTTAAATTTCATCTACTTAAATCCGCGACTTTTTGGCTGGATTTCTTTTAGGAGAGATCTAATAACATCCCTATGATAGTCGGTAGGAAAAGTCATTTTTCCATATTTCTTATTTGTATTGAGTAAGGATGCTACCACAAGTTACTAGAAACCATTTAGAATGCTACAAAATTTTAGAACTTTAATAAGCCTGTAACCGTCTGCCTAAGTACTCTTTCAATTAGTTAGATGGTAAATAATGGCGAGCGGTTTTATTGCTGGTGCATATTACATATTTCCTTGGGCAGCTACTAATAAAATTGTGAAGGGGGTCTATGAGGTTCGGAGATTTGGAATAAACGAAATATAGTTTCAAAGATTTATTTCAAATTAAACTGGACTCATTCCGTCACTATATCTGTCACCCCTGCTTTGTCATACCAGATATACGTTTAGCTCTGTCTAACACTGCTTACAGTCTTTTGACGTGTTCTCCCTTTATTCGCTGCCCAGACTATAACATCATCTATGTAATTTTCCACTCCTGGTAGTCCGTCAAAAATATTCTTGAATGTACGATGAAAAACTTCCGGTGCAAAGCACAGTCCACAAGGCATTCTCTTATAACAATATCGCCCATAACACCCAGCATTAAATGTTGTAAGTATTTCACTTTCTTCATGCAACTTGGTCTGATAAAAGCCCTTATTGCCGTCCAGTATTGGAAAAATATTTGCCCCTTCCATCTTGGATGCAATTTCCTCAAAAGTTGGAAGCTGATACCACTCACGTACTATGGCTTTATTCAGATTTTGTGGGTCTAAACAAATTCGAAGACTATTGTCTGGTTTTTTGACAATGACCATAGAACTGCACCACTCAGTTGGTTCAGTCACTTTTCTCGAAACACCCATTTTCTCCATTTTATCTAGCTCGCTTTTAAATGACTGCTGAATGCTGATTGCAATTTTTCTTGGAGGTTCTACAACTGGCTCTACCTTTTTCTTCAACTGAATTTTATATGAATTTGTCAATTCACCAATGCCTTGAAACATGTAGTATTTTTTTACTAGACTATCAATCACATATTTGTCTTCCTGTTCTACCGATCCTACTCTCTTTAGCAGATTAAACATCTCAATAAATGGAAGGATAATAATTATGCATGTGTTTTTTATTATTAGTTTCACAGATAAGTGTAGTTTGTCCATAAACACCCATTAAAGAGCCTTCGCTTTGTATTAGATGACTGAACTTCAGAATTAAGTTCTTTAGCAGTTCTCAAGTTCAAAACATTAACTTCAGCACCAGTGTCCATTTTGAAACAAATTTCCTTATTATTGACCATTACTTTTTACATCCAGCCAACTAAACCTACTTGTCCTTTCCTGCTCTTCATCATCAGCTTCTACTAAATATACATTTTGAGTCGCGTTTCTTTTTTCACGACAGTAGGTACTTTTGAAAATGACCAAACTTGTTACATGCTTCACATTGTCTTCTATATGCGGGATATCTTGAACCATGAAAATATCCACAATTGCCACACTGTTTTTTCTCAACTGTATTTTCTGAGTTTGTTCTTAAGCTATTTCCACTTTGATTTCGGACTTCATATTGATCTTTTTGTGAAGTAAACTCTCTGTATTGTCCTGATTTTTGTGCGTTCTTCACAATATTAACATTTGTCTCAATTTCTAGCTTTTTTGGTTGAAGTTCAGCTAACTCCGACGCTCTACAGATATTCACACATCTTGTCAAATCTAATTGAGGCTCTCTTATAGCAACCTATCTCTTACTTTAGTGTCCTCTATTCCACATACAATCCTATCTCTAACCAAACTATCTCGCAGATCTCCGAAATTACAATTTTGACTTAGTTTTCTTAAGTCAGTCACAAACATATCAACACTTTCACCTTGTATATAACTGCGCTTTCTAGTATGAAATAGGTGTCGATTAACAGTCTCATTTTCTTTTGGTTTGAAATGTAATTCAAAATGATGTAATAATTTTTTCCAGTCTTTCTTATCATCATCAGGTATCTCTAGTGTGTCATAGATTTCTAGTACTTCAGCTTCAATTGTATGTAGCAAAATAGCAGCGTTCCTTTCAGCTGTTACCTTTGTATTATCTTCCAAACCAGAGGCATCCATATAAATAGTGAATTGCTGTTTCCATTTTTTAAAATTTGTGGGGATATCACCCCCAAGAGACATTTCTTTGGGTTGTCGTAAAGTTTCCATCTTATTTTAATTAGGAAACGTGGGGCTAAGAACGAATTTGACTTAACTTTCTTTACGACGAAATACTCACATATTTTATAAAAAATCTTTCTTCGCAACTTATCCTGTCCGCAGCGCCATGTAACGTCCGGACATTTGGAATAAACGAAATATAGTTTCAAAGATTTATTTCAAGCTAAACTGAACTCATTCCGTCACTATATCTGTCACCCCTGCTCTGTCATACCACACATTACTGGTAACTACCTGACAGGGGTCTATTTGCAAATGAGAGAAACAACTGTAGTGAAGTTATTTTATTTAGATCATATACAGTGAGCACGTAAAGGTTGGAATAAAATCTATAAAATATACAGGGTGAATATTTTTCAAAAAATCTTGGACACGTCAATTTTTGATTTTATTGGACGTTTTTATGATGATAATACCATATATACAGGGTGACCCGAAAACAAGTTATGACAGCTAACTTTATTTTTTTGAATGAAAACACCAATTTTTTATTTCATTTTTAAATTTTACGTTAAATTGTGAACACATTTCATGTATCATGGCCTATACCTATCTTCAACTGTTTCGGAAATATTGACAGTTGAAAATTTACTTTTTTGCAACTTTGACAGTCTGTAGAATCTAAACGGTTAATTTTAGGGGAAAACCGATTTTACATTCCTGTTTCAGATTTTTATTAACTATCATCTGATACCAACTTTGAATTTAATCCCTGATTGAAAATTGCAATTAAATTTAATCTCCGGCATTAAGTGCATTATAAATTCCCTTCATATTTTCTTTGCACAATTAAATATCTGAAGGCAATTAAATTTATGCAATAATGTTCCATAGTCAAAACACTCGAGTTATTAATATTTATGCATTAAAGTTACAAAGTTAATTATAAAGTCAAAAAGTTTTTCTAGTAAAAATAACTCAAGTTTTTAGGCATTTAAAGTCATTGTTATCATTCAGAATCATTGATAAAAGTCAGAAAATTATTAACCACTAAAGTACTTACATTTAACTATTCACACGTAAAATTTCAAATGTTATTTCTTCCACAATTTTCCGTACTTTTTCTAAGTTAAATCGAACGCGTTTTCTTTTTCCGAGGCCTTAAGAGAACTTTTCGCGAATTTTCAACCCTTCTGACTCATTAGGTACTGTAGACTTTAACTGAAACTGGACTGGACTGCCAACAACTGGCAACTCAACTAACAACTGACCCCCACTTCTAAAACCGCGGTATTTATATTTAATCGATCCCCCCGCAAAGTATTATTAATTATCCCCCAAAATCGTCAATAGGCGGTCGTTTGACCATCAATCAGACAATCCAATTGGCCGATCTAGATATTATCAAAAATAATGATGCAATTTCCTTGAAATTTTTATCATTTTTGGTTTAAAAAATCGAATAATTATGTCGCAATATCCTGATTTATCGGGGTCAAATACATTGGTTCAAGAATGCCATAAATCATTCGAGTTCGAGCTCTTGAGTCGTGAAGAACGATTGGTCCACAATCAACTCACGTAATGCCGCGCGACTGATATTAAACCACTATAAATGGGTCTATAGAGGCAAGGTAGCCAATTGTCAACCTGCACTTTTGTAAATCGTATATCAACCTCAACCATGATGAACTATTGAAAACACAAAATATCACAATACTCATAATACGGCACTAAACATGGAAACCCAACGTAATAACCACTTTCAATGCAGTCGAAGGTACGAGCTGAGCGATTTTTTCTGACAGTTTGCAAACTGTCAGAGACTCTTGTGAGAAGTGAGAATAGACCTTAACGTTGTATTTACAAACAGTTGACGTCACAAGTACTGCCATCTTGAAGGCAATCGTTTTTAAAATTTTAATGAGGACATAGTACGAGCAAAAGCATTTATATTTTATATTTGAAAACATAAGGAATAGGCAAAAAAATAATTTGAAAAATATGATTGTTCCCTATTTTTGCAATAATGTTCCATAGTCACTTCACATTCATAGTCATTGCAATTAAATTCAAATAAAAGTCTTCTTATCTTATATGTACTTACTATCATAATTGTTATTAAGTTCACTACACTGGCTCTAACTATCAAAGTATTTTTGTTTCAATTCTTAGCACGCACAAAATCGATAAGATTAACTTCTTAACTTGTTAATATAGTCAATTAAATCGCGAATTTAATTTGGGCCCAAGGCAGAAATTAAAAAAATAACTTTTTGAAGGAGATTCAGATGACTGCCGATTTCTACTGTTCTCTATTATCTTACTATGTAAAATTTTTGATTGCCTCTTCTTCTTATTGTAATCTATTTAAATAGTATTCAATCCCACCATAAATCTCAGCGTCAGTCGTGAATTTAAGTTCATCGCCTCTATTTCTAGGAATGCGTGTCCTAATTTAGTATTTATCGGAGTAATGTCGCAAGAGTTTCGTTTCCGTTTCCGCTATTCAAAAACGCCGACAGCGCGTGTACACAATTAAACAAGTTAGCCTCGTAATTTCGTTTGGGATTTAGATTTATGAGTTTATATAAAGGATAAAGGGTTAGGAATCTCGTGACTCTTCGGATTGCGTAATTATTTCATTCGGACCGCCTTCGGTAAAGATAACTGATGACTATAAGGGGGATCCGTATAATGATTGTTAGATTAGATTTTGAGCTTTATCGCTGGTTTAAGCAGCGAAACAGATAATTACGTTAATGATTATTTTAATTTGAACTTAAAGAATTCCAATTGAGAGTATTTTATTTACTTTATCTATTACTTTCCAATTATAACTTTGATTATTGGGATTTAATTTCAGATAAAGTTATTTGATTGAATTAAATTTTATCAAAGTACAAAATAATAATTGTGAAAAGTATTTTTCCCAAAATTCCCCTTTTTCACTTTTTAAATCCCTGTAATTTATGGACCTCTATTTGGGATCTTCACACTACCACTACCTACCAAAGATTTTAAAATCGTTCGAATGTTATTTTTATGCTAGTTACTTAAATCAAATAAAAACACACGAAAGCATTGGTTTAATAAAACAAAAGGTATGTTGAATTATTCCACATCTTGTATCTTAGAAATTACTGTTAGCCAAAAATTTTTCCTCAAACTCTTATCAGTTTATTTAATTTTAGAGCTGACGATGGATATTGATATCCGAAACATGTACTCATAATAATAAAAATTCAATACTGAATTTTATATAAAGAATTGTGGAGAAGACTAAGAGTTTTACTTCAAATAAAAACGTTATTTTATACCTACGTCATATAATATAAATTTTTATGTAATATCTCTTAAATTATAGACATCAGGAGAGATTACAAAAGTTGAATTGCTAAGCAAACAGACAAACAAAATTTAAACCAATATTAATAATTTTGAATAGATTTATCAAGAAATAATAAACGTTTCCATATCAAATAAATTTTCATTTGAAATAGTCCTAATTTCAATGTCCTGGCAAATATTCACATATTTATTTGGTACCTAGAATTCCAACGATCAAATTATAAACAAATTATCTCAGCCTAGTGTGTTAAAATCATTAGCATAATTGTTGTTTAATAAGGCTATTACCCAAACTTTCGCATTTACGACGTTGTTAAGTTGCATTGTTTTTATAGACCTGGCTGACCTTAACCATTATGAGCATATATTAGTTACAAAAAAATAAAGCGTACATACCTACTGATGCAGGAATCGCTTTTAATTCTGAAGGTATATTATATTTTTGCATCAAAATCAGTCGGTTTGTATAGAGTGTAGTGTGTGGTCATTTTCTAATCAGTTTTATCTTGAAATATTTGTTTTGGATTTCGAACAGGTTCTTATCAAGAAATTTTAAAAAGCAAATGTATTCAGATAAAAGATATTATTGTGTACAAAATTAACCATTCGATTCGATATTTTATATACTTATAGGCGATACTGGGTAAGTGCCTAATTTTTTTGTTTTAATATAAATACTACTAATAACAAGTTTATCTTATAGAGAATTTCATGCTCTTTCTAGTGATATATAATTTAAATGGAATTGTTTAAATATTATTCAAAATATTAGCAATATTTATTCATGCCCATGTTGAGAAAATTGATTTTGAAGTTTTGACTTTTGACTAAAATCAAACTTTGAGACTCAATAACTCAGAGACTGTGTGAGCTACTAATTACGAATTTGGCTCATCTTCTAGAAAATTTCATTATCTTTCTAGTGATATATAATAATATAATTTAAATGAAATTGTTTAAATATTATTCAAAATATTGCCAATTATTCATACCTTTGTCAGAATTCCATAGAAAATAATACTGTTTGATTTTTTGCTCCTTGAAATTGTGCTTTGGAAATGATGTTAGAGTTTTTTTTAAATAATTTGGACCTGCTCTATTCGTTGAAATTGGCAAAACTCCGAAAATAAAAATTTCCAATTTTGTCCACTTTTTCTAAGTGTAGGGAGGTACCCCCTTCGCATGTTTAAATCTCAATATCTCAGTTCACCTAAAAGATACCAACATAAAATTTGCAGGTTTTAAAGCCCTTATTAAATGCTTCAAAAATTATAAAAAATAACATCTTCAAGCTTATAGTTTTTGAGAAAATTGATTTTGAAGTATGTAAGTTCTACACAGCAATCTAAATAATTCGCTCTTAAAATCCTTCTAGAAGGCGTTTTGACCTACATCCTTATTCTGGTATTTTTCAAAATGTTTCTAGGAGTGTTTTGAAATCGTTCTTAAATGGGTTTCAAATTTCCGAATTGTTCCAAAATAGTTTTGGAAATTGTAAATCGGTTTTTGAATGTTTTGGGGCATTCTAAAATGATTCTGAAATTCCCAAAATGTTTTTCAGAATTCTTTTGGAAATTCTGAATTGAATTTTAAGTGTTTTGAACTTTCTACAAGGCTTATTAATATTCTAAAGTGTTCTGTAGCATTCTAAATGGTTTCTAGTAACTTCTAAATTTAATGAGAAGCTAATTCTGTGGGAAAGAAGCCACTAAAATGCCCACAAACGACATTCAAGACGTTTTGCTTACGTCTTTAAGGCATCTATATTCTATTCTATATATGTATATATGTATGATGTATGTATGTATGTATGTATGTATTAAGACGGTCGAAATTTGATCGTGGCGCCCATCTAAGACAAGGATTCAACACTAAACAGCAATTTTTGCTGTAATTACATGCACAAAACTTGGATTGGTTTTCTTTGCTTTTCCTAGCCATACTGATGAGACCTGATAGGTCGAAACGCGTCTATGGATGGAAAAGCAAAGAAAATTAATCCAAAATTTTCTCATCAGTGTATGTATGTATATGTATATATGTTACAACACCCAACGTCTTCCAGACGTTTGCCTGAAAACGTCTCTAGGACTAAGACATTCTAAAGACGTCTTCAAGACTTTGTCTGGAATATTCATAAATAAGAACAATATTTTGTTTCAAAAGCTTTCAATCAACTAATGATGTTTTTGTTTCAGTATAATTATTCTCATATACAGGATGTTGTCGAAAAGTCGTGCTGTGGCCCGTGTGGCTCAAAAACTATCCACAAGACTGATTAGCAGTAAAGAAGTGTTCGAAAAAGAGGAAAAATACGCCGCGCACAATTACCATCCTTTGCCTGCGGCCTTATCCAGAGGAAAAGGCAAGATTTTTCTCGAAAACATCAAAAAATCTATAATCAATTTTTAGGTGTTTTTGTTTGGGACGTGGAAGGCAAACAGTACTTCGACTACCTGAGCGGTTACTCAGCTAATAACTTCGGACATTGCCATCCGAAAATCGTAGAGGCTCTGGAAAGTCAATCTAAAATACTACATCACACTTCGAGGGCTTTTTTCAACGACGTGCTGGGAGAATATGCGGAAAAAGTTACTAAACTGTTCGGATATGATAAAGTATTACCAATGAATACAGGTGAGAATCATATTCCTTCTGATTCAAGGAGAAAATCAGCTTCCAAATCTTAGTAATGTTTCTCAAACTTCAAAGTTCCTTTGAACTTAATTCGGTAGTCATTTTTCAGGTCTCTTGCATTTTTGGTCATAGGGTTAAGGACACTTTTCATAAGTTTTCAACTTTAGAAAATCTTTTACTTCTTACCAATAAGTACTTAATTCCGAACAAAGATGATGTAATTTCCAAGTGCTTCAACTTTCTGCTAGTTACGATTTTTCCCTAATTTCTTCGAATTTATATAGGTACCTACATGTCCCTATAAGTTTTTCATCCATTAAAGTAGGTATTACATGGATATAGTAAATGTTCAAAGCTTTAAACCTGATGTAAGATATTTGCTCAAGGGGTTCAATTTGGTCTGTAGGCCCCTTTATATCTATTGTTTCATTGCGCGTTCATGTCAAACTTCCTTCCTTTTAATAATTCCCTAAGGTTGCTGAGTTGAATAGAACTGAACTTCTTTAGCTGGAAATGAAAAATTTGTGGGTTGTTAACATATTCTAAAAAATTTCAAGGTGTCGAAGCCGATGATACAGCATGTAAAATAGCAAGAAAATGGGGTTACAGAAAGAAGAACATCCCCAACAACCAAGCCAAAATCATATTTTGCAGTGAAAACTTTTGGGGCCGATCCTTGGCCGCAGTTTCAGCTTCCACCGATCCATCGAGCTTCGAAGGGTACGGGCCTTTTATGCCAGGATTTTCGTGTGTGCCTTACAACGATTTGAAAGCTTTAGAGGTAAATAATAATGATTCAGAGTGATTTTTTGAAGATTAAATTTTCTGTTTTTAGGCTGCAATTTCTGATCCGCTTGTGTGCGCCTTCATGGTGGAGCCTATTCAAGGCGAAGCAGGTATCAAGGTGCCTGATGAAGGGTATCTTAAAGGTGTCAGAGATTTGTGTACTAAATATAACGTTTTGTGGATTGCTGATGAAATTCAAACAGGTATGCAACATTTTGTCTCTCAATTTCTTACATGTAAAATATGTCGATCTTAATCTGATACTTCAAAGGAATCAGAGCAAGAGAAATAGTCACCTGACGTCACACCTGTTTTTGCCATATGCTTCACCACCTCGCTCCTCATACGGAAAGTGTCAGATTAAAAACGATGGACACTACTTACAATTTCTCCTTAAATTATCTGTGACTGTCACTAATCTTTGGGCTTCAATATCTTGAAATCCGTGAGAGATATTGAATCAAAATTTTCAAGAGTTGTAGCTCCTATTAGGCTCTAAGAAACGTATTTTAGAAAAAATCTTCAAGTTTAGAGTTTGTGAGAAAATTGAGTTTGAAATTTTTCGACTAAATTTTAACTTTAAGACTCAATTGCTCGAAAATTACGCGTACATTAGAACGCCAATGGTCAACTAACGTCACACCTGTTTTTGCCATAAGGTTCACCCCCCTCTGTCCTCATACGGAAAGTGTCAGATTAAAATCGATGGCCAATACACATACACATCGATTGGAGAAGTCAAAATTCGAAAAATAAAAAATAATTAAAATTTCGAGTTCTTTAAAAGGATACCGGGTGATTATATTTTGCATCCACACCTATTTCACCTGTTTGAAGAGATACCCAGGAATGTCAAATATGAAAGTTGTAGGTAATTTAGTTACAAGTATACAGGGTGTGTCACAAAAGTGTAGCGAAGCAAAGTTTTATTGTCCCATTGGATTTAGCCTTTCAAACCTTATTCCAAATATACTAGGTTTTTTAGGTTTAGTGCGCGTTCACATTGACACCGCTCGAGCGGTGAGCGTCGCGCGATGCCGCTGTAGTGATGCCCAAAAATAATTTCAACATTAAATTTCAAATGAACATGTTCACACTGGAGCGGCGCGTCCCGCGGTGTTAACATGTTCATTTGAAATATAATGTTAAAATTATTTTTGGGCATCACTACACTACAGCAGCATCGCGCAACGCTCACCGCTCGAGCGGTGTCAATGTGAACGCGCACTTAGTCATTATAGTCCAGGAGAAAATAGGACAAAAAGAGGATGGGAAAATTGCATTTTTATTCAAAAAGGTGAAGTATAGAGAACACCAGCAAAATACAAAGGTAATCATTCATGTAAAAAATCCCTATTATTTCTTCAAAATAGGATATTCATTCCTAAAAAATCTGGTATCTTTGGAATCAGGTTTGAAAGGCTAATCCAATGATAGAATAATATACGGGGTTTTCCATTTAAAAAAGTATAGCTTTGCTTCGCCACACTTTTGTGACACACCCTGTATAGTTGTAACCAACATCATTGAAAACTTTCTGATTTGATCTACAACTTTCACATTTGACATTTCTGGGTATCTCTTCAAACCAATGAACTATAGTCAAAAACTGGAATGCGCATACATTGCCATATCTGCCAAAAAAATGTAGCCATGAAAGACAGATGCCACAAAGGGGAATGTTGTTTCTTTCTGTTGCTCGCTGACATAATATGACGTTTTGGAAAGTTTTGTCATATTTACCTTCACAGGTTTCATCAATTGGAATACCTGTTGGAAGCAATTTTCGCCATTTAACATAATGAGTGCGACAAAAACAGGTATCCCCTCCGCAGCAGCCGCACTAGGCTTTAAGTTCGTCCTTATGTGTTAGCATTCCAGTTTCTGGTTATAGTTCATTGCTTCAAACAGTTGAGATACGTGTCGGTGCAAAATATAGACAATCACCCGGTACAGGGTGATCTATTATAAATGTCACCCCCTGCTAACTTTTTTATTTGACGTTTTTGACAGAAGTGTCAAATACAAAAGTTTTAATGCTAGTTTTACACTGACAATTTAAATTGATCAATTTGTTTGTCAATTTATTTGTCAATTTATGTTGGCTCAACAATGGCTCAACTTCGCTTTACACCGGATCAGCTTATTGATAACACAAACGACAATAAACAATTCTACCAACTTAACCAGAATTTCAAGGTTATGTATTTTTATTTATGGCTCACCCAGAATATATTTGAAGATGTTTAATAATAAAACTAGAAGAAACTGAAGGTAGAAGAGAATAAACTGAACATCAACAAATAAATGATAAATAAAAATAAATATCCTCACCTAGCTTTAATATTTTTAAAGAGTCATAGATAAGTTGAAATCCTGAATTGACACAAAAATTGACGGAAAAATAGAAAATGCGCTAATCCGTCAATAAATTGAGCGAGTACTTGGACAAGTTAAATTGCCGCCAATTTGGCGTTTTACATTATCAATATTACTTGACAAGCGACTTGATAAATAAATTGACCAATAAATTGTTAATGTAAATCCGTCTTAAGAAATTGTCAAAAGTTTTCAACTAAGTCAGTTTCAAGCATACAGGGTGCGTGAAAAAAGTGCAGCAGTGTGAAGTTATATTTTTTTAAATAGAACACCCTGTATATTATGCGCTTATTTGTTAGTCCTCTTTAACCTGATTTCAACGGTATATGGTTTGATATGTTTATCTCCAATAGTTATAGGGAAAAACGCGAAAATCCCTTCCTAGGTCTCATGTAATTTTTTGTAAAATAATAATAATAATTTAGACATTTGGATTTATTATTATATTTTACCTTGTATATTAATGAATGAAATTTGAACAATAAATTGTTTATAGAAAAAATTATCTAAAGCTTGTAAGGTATAATTTTTCCTTTTTTTAATATGAAACCTTGAAAGGGGTTTTCATGTTTTTCCCTGTTAATATTGAAGATAGACATATCAAACCATATATCGTTGAAATCAGGTTAAAAGGGACTAACAAATAAGCGCACAATATACAGGGTGTTCTATTTAAGAAAATATAACTTCACACAGCTGCATTTTTTTGATGCACCCTGTATGCCTAAAGCTGACTGTTAAAAACTTTCGACAATTTCTTGAAACTTTTGTATTTGACACTTTTGTTAAAAATGTCAAATGAAAAAGTTAGAAGGGGGTGACATTTATAATAGATCACCCTGTACTTATACTACCCCTTTTGGATTTTTATTTCAAAATCTTTAAGCTTCAATATCTTGAAATCCGTGAGAGATATTGAATCAAAATTTTCAGGAGTTGTATCGTCTATTAAGTTCTGAAAAACTTGTATTTCAGAATTTTTTCAAGTCTATAGTTTTTGAGAAAATTGAGTTTTTGACTAAATTTCGACTTAAATTCACCTTTGAGGCTTAATTGCTCAAAAAGTATGAGAGTTTTCAAACTCAATTAAACACAGATTTATAGAGAATTTAACGCTATTTCTAAAAGTATATAATTTATCTTGATTTCATCAAATTTTAATGGAAATATTGGCAATTTTTCTTAACTTTGTCATGATTTATGTCTTTCCGGAGCCTAATTTATGGGTTCATCTTCAGGTTCAAGAACCTCGTGCAATAAGATTTGCGTCTTCAACAATTAAACATATTTTGACTTTGACTATAGGCTTGGGTCGAACTGGTAAAAGAATCGCAGTGGATTACGAAAACGTGCTTCCTGATATTTTAGTATTAGGAAAAGCCCTTGGAGGTGGAGTTTATCCAGTTTCAGCAGCTCTGGCCAATGACGATATCATGCTAGTGATAGAACCAGGTAAATTTTACTATTTCTTCAAACATAATACATAAAATTATCTATAGGTACTCATGGTTCAACTTTTGGCGGTAACCCTTTGGGATCCAAAGTGGGAATTGCCGCTCTAGATGTGCTGGAAAACGAAAATATTTCCGAAAATGCTTATAAAATGGGCGACATTTTTAGGAAGGAATTGGAAAGCAAATTGAACAAAAAAATCGTCACTCAAATTAGAGGAAAGGGACTTTTGAATGCCATCGTAATGAATAGCAGTAAGCGACTGAAATATTTATAAAATTCGTAGATTAATTTGATGTTTGTTTCTTCCAGATTATGTTGAAGCCTGGGATCTTTGCTTGAAACTTAGAGACAACGGCCTTTTAGCCAAACCTACTCATGATAATATAATCCGTTTCGCGCCTCCTCTAGTTATCAACCAAAAAGAACTTGAACAATCTTTAGATATTATCGTTAGCACTGTTAATAGTGTTTCTGCGTGATTAAAATAAGATTCAAATACAGTTTGTTTATTGTTATATTTTCTATTATGTGTTGTTTTTTCCACAAATATATCTTTATATAATTTTTTATAATGATACTCTTATTTCAACAGTCTTTACATCAATATGTTGTACATTTTGGGGGATATAGACATTTTTTTGTTCACATACAATCACAATCTTATAGAGAGCTGCAATTATATGTTACATACTTTCAAGAAGCTTATTAGTTTTAGATTTGTAAACTCCTAAAAAGCAACAAAACTTAAACACATTTATATAAGGCAAAGCTTCTCGAAACTTATATATTCACTAAAAAGAAACTTGTATGTAGGTATACAAGAATTTAAGTAAAATTAATACCATCAGTAAGTACATAAGAATGACCATTTTATATATCACAGATTTTCGTATATAAATACTCAAGTTTAATGTACACAAATATTAAGTAAATCAATTATTCGAAACCTAAAACATTCAAATAATATTAATAAATACACACAGATTAAATTGCACACCTTTTGCTTGAGCATTTTTTTAAAAATTATTAATACAGTCAAAGGCGATTTTCAAATTATAGAGAGCAAAATTCAGGCACAACTCAGCTCACAACAGCGTCACAACATCGCCGACTTAAAAAAAAAAAAACAGTCTCATTAACTTAAAAACTAAAATACTTTAATTCAAACAGTTGTCTCTACGTCAACAGTGTCATCGTAAGTCTGCAAATCTCGCGATTCCGTGAATCCAGTTAAATCTGAATCGGATAAGAAGGGACTGGAATAGGCTCGTTGAGGTTGCGAATTGAAATGGCGTCCTTTTTGAGGTTGCATTGGCATGGGTCCTCGACGGATTTGTTGGTAGAGTTCGTCGATGTCCGTGGCCGAAACGCTGCTGGTTCTTGAGAAATTTGAAGGAGATCGAAGCCTAGGAGAAATCAAAGTTTAAATTTACGAACAGGTTTGTAGAGAATTCAATTAGAGCTCAATTACAGTAATCATAGCAAGTCAAAATAACATTAAAGTTACCCTTACCGAGCAAAAGGGCTGTTCTTGCCACCCAATCCGAACTTGCCCGCCCTAACAGTCGATTCGCTCCCTCTTAGTTCAGCTATTTCAGCATAATGATGAGGTTCTTCTACAGGGCTGTTTTCCCTCCTGAAAATATTCACTATAGTACTTTTCAAAACTATATCAAAAACAGTGACAATTACCTTGTGCTCAAATGTGCAGTAGTTTCTGTAGTAGCTGAAGTCTCCATAGGCGTAGTACTACTTTCGTCCATTAATTTTTTAACCTGTCTCGAAGTAGCTGGCAAAGTTTTAGTGGGCGATAGCGGCGACAAGAGGCTGCCCTTGTCCAATATGGAATCAGAAAGTGGATTTTCTGAGCTGTAATCCAATGTGCACTGCTGAGACACGGTGCGCATTTGCGCCTGCACGTTGTCTTGCAACAAATTGGATTTTTTCCTAGTTTTATTCCTAGCAATTTCCTTTTTTCTCAATCGTTCGGCGTTTATGACAATTTTTTCCACTGGCACGTCGCTGAGCATATCAAATTCATCTCCGCTATCAGAAAATATATTGAGATTCTTCTTTTGCGATTTAGGCACATGTTCCACGTGTATATTTGTGTTGTTCACTTTGGAATTTGTCCCAAACATGTTTTGCTCAGTATTTCTCCTTTTAACAGGCCTCGGCTCTGAAAACACCGAAGTAGCATCACTGTTAACATCTCTAGGTGGTTTAGTTTGCAGATTATTCCTCTTCATCATATCTCGGCGTTGCCTGCGAAAAAATTTCCTGGCCACAGTGATTTGATGAGGATTATAAAAAACGTCCGCTGCACTTGTAGGATTCTCAATAATGTGTGGAACTAAATTAGAGCGATAATGAGCTCGGTGCAAGGCAATTAAATTCACATTGTTTATTTTTGTACCAGCCCTTTCACTCATTGAACCATTTAAATCTAATGCAGCAGCTCCTTTTAAAGAATTCGATTTGGTGGGGTTTGAGCTTCTGCTGGAAGATCTGGACATTGCCTGAGCGTCACTGTTAGCGACTGGTGGAAGTGGTAAAGATTGAATTTGGACTCTTGGCGATGTGTCTGAGACTGTGCGAGGTCTGAGTAGTCGTTTTCGCCGCATCCACCTGCAATAATATGTCAGTGAAAAATCAAATTAAAACTAATATCAAAGTTTACCTAAACATAGTCATCCACTGAGTCCTGACATCATTCCTAGCCACGCAATAAAAGAACAAAGTAAACGCACTCAAAGTAGTAGAGCAAATAGCGTAAGCTCCACTAAACAAATCCGCTTCGTAGCTGACCAATCCCAAAGGTGGAACTGTGGCAAACGCACAACTCAGCCACGTGATCAAAAATAGAAAAACGAAAATCACGTGCGCTTTCAATTGAGCCAATGGCGAGCGTTCGTTATCTTCCGTCTCACTCGAAACGGTTTTAGATGAGTAGCTTCGCACGCTCCTGCCATCTTGATTAGGAAAATTCGGTTCTAAAAGGTCCAAGTCCACGTGTTCGGTTGCTTGGGTGCCTAAAAAAGAATCTTGAGGTGTAATTGTTAAAATTTGAATTAATGCAACAAGCGGGATCTATAAACTACAGCAAGTTACCTTCACTCAAATGGCCTCCGTGAGACAAATCTAGAATATTGATGGCGCATCGTACCATGAGGAAAAATACAATCATAAAAAGGAATAGAATGGCAAACGGTACGTAGAGGGCGCTCAAAGCTGGGCCTGTGCGCAAAAAGCAGTGCGACTGAGAGGCATATTCTTTAATGTTAATGGCAGTTGATAAGCCGCAAATAATTAAGGCCACGCCCCATCCTACTAAGTATAAACCCATGACTGGTTTTTTTATTGGTTGGTCGCTAGGTAAATCATCATCCTGAAGATAAATTTTTTGAACAAACCTTGGTAAATTTTGTTGATAATTACCTGTAAAATCGAATCTCCATTCCTACTGAGCCTTTTATACATCGAATTAATACTGACACACATCCACAACATCGAACACAAAGACAAATAGTGCAAAATCAGCCCAATAGCCTGGCACAGCTTCTGATCTTCAGTCTGGTAAATACCAAAGGAGTAAATGAAACACAAAATCGCTATTGCTGTCCAAGTGTTTATGAGGCAATGCTTGGCTTTCTTAGGCATTTGTATGCTGTCGAATCCAAAAATATATGTTAGGATTGCTATTAGGAACGAGGCAAATAAAATCGCATTGCCAACATAAATTGCTGGATGGGAGAGACGAAAATAGCCCTTGGGAAAACCCTAAAAGAATTATTAGTTAAGTACAAAATATTTTTCTCATATAAGGTTTGTTCTTACAGTTGTATTAGTAAAAATTACATCCTGCATCAGTCCATAATATCCCAATTTTCTACAAGAAAACACCACATGGTCGTGCCAGTGATGGGCAAAACGGCAACCCTGTGTTGACCACCTGCCTAGGGCATGATCCCAATACACTGGAGTAAAAGGAGTTACTTCATATGATGTAGAAATTGGGGCTCGAATTGTTACTATAATCGGGTGGGAAGGATCAGCGTGACCAGGACCAACTAAAACAAAAAATAACTAAAAAAAAAACAATTCAAAAATGAAAAGTCTCTTACCAATTTTTACTCCAACTATTGCTGAGCTGACACCTTCCTTTCCAACTCGTTCATCATCAATGGGGAAAAATTTACTAGAACTGTGCATTGAAACTATAACGTTATCTTTAACTTCATCAGCAATGCTATCTTTACTCCGAATAAATAAACTTTCAGGCACAAAAACTGAAGTTTCAATACTTTTGCCTTGCAACACCATAGAATCAGGCACATTATTATTATTGTTACAAGAAAATAACGAATCCATAGAGTTTAATTCGTTACGAAACCAAGAGCATTTAATTCCTGGGAAATTGTCCTTGTTAGAAGGAAAAGCTTCAATTACAAAATTTTCCTAAAAAATAATTCAATTAAAAACCATGTCAATTCAGCTCAAAAAACTCTTACTCTTTGAAAAAGTGTTGCAGGATTTCCCAAAGCCACATTTTCCATGACACTAACCAACTTTGAACAACTCCTATGCTCTTCATCACTCTTTTTCAAATACCCTTCTGGCAAGTTTAAAAAATTATTTGTAATATCCATAAGAATATTGCTTAAAGGTTCACTTAATGGCGCCCCATTACTACTGACAAAATTCTCCATTGTTTCAATGGAAAACACCAAATCCATTACATCCTTGAACAAGCTAACATTTGAGGTAAAATCTTTAAGATGGCGTGCACTTTCCAGGACGCTGGAGTTTACTTTTGAGAAGCCTTCAAGGATTCTAGTAGTGTCAGACACGTAGGAACAACGGGAAGTGTCCAGATCTTTCCAGGTGCTATTTTCCGAGCAAAAATAGGAGGCCGTTTGGATAGTTGACTCGTAATAGTCGTTTAGGAATTCGCAGGGTACTGTTACGGTATTGTTTACTATTGTTTGAGGCCAAATGTAGGTACCTTTGTTGTTTTTTGTTGTTGCGATTGGACAATATCTGGAAAGTTTGATCTCAGTAAGATGTATAGTATTTTTTTGGAAAAAAGATCAGTTTGTTTTAATAGTACAGAAAACACCTTGTAAATGATGCAATTTTTGAAAAAAATCCTCAGAAAGACAATAAAAAGGCAGATTCCAAATTAATTACTCTATGATACTTTTCCAGTTCAATTTCTACTCTAAGAGAGCCAGGAAGAAAAATTTTACTGTTTTTCTACTTCAAATTCAGCTCCAAGGGGATCAAAAATGAGACTTTCTGTCTTTGGATGGTCTGAAATAAGAGTTATTCTAGGAGAGCCTGGAATAGAATTTTTAATCTTTTCAGTTCTATGAGGGTACGAAATGTGGTTCTTATATCGCTCTAGGGCAATTATGAGTCCTGACATGGTCAAAAATTGTTTCTCCAACTCAATTTGTAGCCAATTTAATCCTCTTTCGAATGAAACAGGATTCGTTAAGATCAGTCCAGACGTTCCAGAGTTATGGCCTATTTAATGGGGCCATGTCAAGTTGGGAAATTCAAAATACAATTTTGGAATTTTCTTCTTGAATTTTTTCCGGGGTTAAGAAGCCAAGAGGCATTTTCTGTTTAATTTTGAGAGAAGTTTGATTTTTTCATTTAAAATCCGGAAAAGTCATGGTAAATCGGAAAATTAAGGAAAAAAAAGTTAGTTTTGGGACTTTTTGGGATCCCCTCTACAAAATGGCTTTCTTGAAATTCCGAAATTTTCTGAGTGCCTTTTTTCATAGAATCTGACTCCAAATCTGGGAATAATTTGGTGTATGGAGTTTGGGGGATTCCGATGGCCCATAAGGACACAAAATCTCAACGAAAACAAAATTGAAGTTTCATCGTTTCAGTAAGAAGGTACCTTATGATTAAGATTTAGGAAAACTTTGAAAGGTCATAACTTTTTTCTATTAAAGATAGAAAGCTGAAATTTTCAGCAATTCTTATCCCAGTAGAGGACTACAATCCCTGATCAGCTCATTTGGACTTAAGTTTCTGAGATAAAATCGTGTTAAGCAATTTGGGGTGATTTATCAATTTTTCAATGTTTCCGAGTGCCTTTTTTCATAGAATCTGGCTCCAAATCTCAGAATAATTTAGTGTATGGATTTCGGGGGGTCCCAAAGGACCATTAGGACACAAAATCTCAACAACAAAAAAATTTGAAATTTCATCGGTTTAGTAAGAAGGTAGAGGTACCTTATGATTTAAATTTTGGAAAACTTTGAAAGGTCATACCTTTTTTTCTATTATAGATAGAAGGCTGAAATTTTCAGCGATTCCTACCCCAGTAAAGGACTACAATCCCTGAAAATTTCAGCTCATTTGGACTTATAGTTCCTGAGATAAAATCGTGTTAAGCAATTTGGGGTGATTTATCAATTTTTCAATGTTTCTGAGTGCCTTTTTTCATAGAATCTGGCTCCAAATCTCAGAATAATTTAGTGTATTGAGTTCGGGGGATCCCAAAGGACTATTTCGATACAAAATCTCGACAAAAAAATTTTTGAAATTTAACTTATGATTTAGATTTTGGAAAACTTTGAAAAGTCATAACTTTTTTTCTATTATAGATAGAAAGCTGAAATTTTCAGCGATTCTTATCCCAGTAGAGGACTACAATTCCTGAAAATTTTAGCTCATTTGGACTTATAGTTCCTGAGATGAAATCCTGTTAAGCAATTTGGGGTGATTTGAAATTTCATCGTTTTAGTAAGAAGGTAGCTTATGATTTAGATTTTCCTCTACTTCAAATTCTAGCTGTACGAGAGCCAAAAATTAGAGTTTTGAACTACAATGAATCCAAATTTAAGTCTAGGAGGATGGTCAGCAAATAGAGTTCATTAGTCTAAGAGAGCGTGGAATAAAACTTTTATTCTTTTCAGTTGAATTTTAGCTCTATGAGGTTGCAAAATGAGCCCATTCTAAAACTGCTCTATTTCAACTGTAACTCTAAAATGGTCAAGAATCGAAATTTGATATTTTTCCAGTTCCATTTCTACTCTAGGAGAGCCAGCAATTTTCTACTTCAAGTTCAGCTCCAATAGGATTGAGAATTAGTCTTTTTTTCTACTAGTATAAAAAACTTGTAAATGATGCAATTTCTGAAAAAAAGTTCTCATAAGGTAGCTGAAAGACAATGAAAATGGCAAATTCCAAATGAGTATAATGTTTATAATCTTGTTTCTACCGAGGGGTTAATCACTCCCCGAAATCGTGTCACAAATGCATCCGAAATCCCCAAAAATAGCCGAAATTCCTCCGAAATCTTTCCGCAGACCCAAAAATCTCTCGCAATTGGCCCAAAATTCATGAATCGGTCAACGCGGCCGTTTTTCAGTTTATACTAATACACTTTCGAATATACTTATAAGATAAGTAACAGTCTAAAATCAAATTAAAATATTTGTGAAATCACCTGAGATTCTCCGAAATCACCCGAAATCCTTGGAAATCACCGGAAATCCTTCGAAATCACCCGAAATCAACTGAAATCCCTCAAAATCGCTCGAAATCCGAAATCTTGTCACAGTGAATAATCCCTCAAAATCTTTCCGAAATTCTACCGAAATTCTTCGAAATCACCCAAAAGCCCTCAAAATCTCTCTAAATCCGAAATCTTGTCACATTTTTCCCTTAGTGAATAACCCTTCACTCGACCCTTCACTTTATACAAAGGGTCCCAAGCAAGTTAGAAACTTTTGAAATTAAAAATCATTATTCAAATGATTCCTTTTTGAACTTTTAGAATGAAAAATACTCGGAAAAATAATAAAAGTTAGGAGCTCATAATACCTACTGAAATTTCCAATTGATTCAGTGAAAAACACCAAGAAATTAAATTCATGAAAATCAACAGGATATCCCGAGGGATATCCCCTGTACACCCTGCAGGAGATATCCAAAACTCTTAAGGGAAATCTTGGGAGGTTTGGGAAAATCTGGGAAGATTCAGAAAAAACTTGAAGGAAATCTGGAGGAGGTTGGAGGGATATCTGGGGAAATCTAAGGGAAATTTTTCTGAGTGAGACCATGAACGCGTTCAGAATTTAATTCTCTATAGATTGAGAGTATTTGAGAGAATATCATGTTATAAAAATATTATACATCATATTGTAATAAATGTAGCTTTGATATTGACAGGCAAGTGATAAGTCAAGCAAGAGACAAAGAGCAGACCTTAGGAGTTCTGCTTTGACTGTGCACTAGTGCTGATATTCCTCGAAATCTCTGGAAAATTAGGGAAATCTAGCGAAATCTTGGAAAATTTGGGGGGAATCTGAAAAAATCTTAGGGGGATCCCAGGTCTTCAGGGGTCGTATTTTCGAATATTCTCGCATACGAAATTGATACGATTTCGAATGCTCCCCATTTAATATACATTGCTGTCAGTCAGACTTAGTGTACAAAATGTACTCGAATGAATTTGAAAATACGACCCCTGGGATATGTTAGGGAATTATGCTCGGAATTATGTGGATATCTTTTTAGTGAAAAACAGTAACAAAATCATGGAAATCAACTTTGCCATGCAGAAAAGTCAGCTGATATTCAGCCAAACATTCTAAATGAATTCTACTGTTCAATTGCGAAAAAAATTTCAGACAAGATAGAACCCGCCTTAGATCCCCTCAGTTATCTTAGCCATTCACACATCGATGAAACATTCACTTTAACAGAAACAACTGTAGAGGAACTTAAAATCATAATCAGAGACATAAAAAATAAAAACTCTGCTGGAATAGACGAGATGTCTGTCAAAATCTTTCAAAACTTAAATGATAATATTCTCTATGTGCTGTCACAGGCCATCAACAAATGTTTTGAGGTTGGTGAATTCCCCGACTCACTTAAGGTTGCCTTGGTGGTCCCCATACATAAAGGTGGCTCCTTCAAGGACCCAGCTAACTTTAGACCCATTTCACTTTTAAATACCCTGTCAAAAATAGTGGAGAAGGTGGTGAAGAATAGACTGACTGTGTTTTTATCACGTAACAATATAATTAGCGATTGTCAATTTGGATTTCAGTCATCTAAAAGTACTAGTGATGCTGTATTCTGTTTCCTGGAGCAATTGTATTTGAAACTGAACGATAGAGAGGTTGCAGCTGCGGTTTTCTGCGATCTCTCTAAAGCGTTCGATTGCGTTAGACATGACATACTCTTGAATAAAATGTATATTTATGGAATTCGGGACACTTCATTGAAATTCTTTACCTCATATTTATCAAAAAGGACCCAAATGGTTAATAACAGGAGTTCCATATCATCAGCCTTAGCAATTGACACAGGAGTTCCACAAGGTTCTGTCCTGGGACCTATTTTGTTTTTGATGTATGTTAATGACCTTTTTGAATTACCACTTGAGTGTATGTTCACTGGTTTTGCTGACGATATTACGCCCCTTTGGCACCATAAGGACCCACTGCTCTTGAAAGAGATTGTTTCTAATGACCTCCATCAAATAAAAGCATGGTGTGATTCAAATTTTCTAAGTTTTAATATTGAAAAAACCAAAGTTCTCAGTTTTAAATTTACATTTGATAATCTTCAACTTGGAAATCAGTCAATCGGTCTCAGTCAGGATACTAAATTTCTTGGAATTAATATTGACTGCAATTTAAAATTTTTCCAGCATATAATCAACTTAAATAAAAAAATTGCAGCGGGAGGCTATGCTGTACGCCAAACGTGCTATGAATTGGGTCAGTCTATGGCTAAGGCCACTTATTTTGCTCTTGTTGAGTCCCACTTGCGCTATGGAATTGCTTTTTGGGGGAACTGCAGTAAGTGTTTGTTTCAATCAGTGTTTACTCTTCAGAAACGTTCTGTTAGGTATATTTTTGGAGCAGGTCTCAGAGATCACTGCCGAGAATTATTTAGGAGGGGGGGAATGTTAACCTTAGTGGATCTCTTTATCTTAGAGACTGTCTGTTTAGTTCACAAGAGGTACCAGGGTACTACACATGCGCACTCCTATCCAACAAGGAACTACAACCTGATACCTTTGCCTATACCAAGGTTCTCTCTAACTCAGGATTCTCTGATTTATAAAAGTATACAAATGTACAATAAACAACCATTAAATTTAAGAACGGATCAAAATTATAAATCTTTTAGAAATAAGGTTAAAAGTTTATTGGCAGATAAAACATTTTATTCTCTTGACGAGTATTTTGATGACAACCTTTAACAGGATCTTGTGTCTGTATCGTGATGTAAGTGTCTAAAACTCAACTTTATGTTTTATGTTTTGTACTACTTGTAGGACAGGGTCTACCTGATTTAGTAATAGATTCACAATGCCATAATAACTGATGTGTTCTAAATTTTAAAAATGTTACAAATTTACTAATAAGTACTGAATTTTTCTTTTATTGTTAGTCATTTTACCACTTGCTAGTGCCACTGCTGTAGTGTCTTTTTTACTTGTTATCTGTTCTTATATTTTATATTATTAAGGATGTTGCTTTGTCAATAGAATGTACTATAATTTTCTGACAATAAAGCATATTTGAACTTTTAAAACCTAAATTACCTAAAAAGAATTTCACATAAAAATTAATAACATCTACCTACCTTGTATCATCTGATAGTACTAAAATTGTAGTACTTTTCGTATGATTCCCTTGTATAGAAGAAAACAAACACGACCAAATCCCTGCATGAGATCTTGTCAATTTCTTAATATACAAAACACTATCAACAATACCAGGATTTGGCAAAAATTCATTTACTATTGAAATATCACTGAAATGGTCTTTTGGCTTTGAATCCAACCACAACCACTCCAACCTAAAACACAATAATAATTATAAAACAATAATAATATAGGTACAAATTAAAATTACCTGGAATCATTAGTACTGTCAGTAATACTTGGAGCTCTGCAATGCAACTTTAACGAATCCCCCTCAAAAACCATTTGATTATTTTCAGGTTGTAAATCCAACAAAGGCAAAAGATTATCGTGTGTAGCTGATTTACAATGAATGTCGACTCCTACTTTGAGTTTTCTGAGTGAAATTCCTTTAAAAGTCGAGCTACATTTAGGATTTGACATAAGTTTAATAGAGTGCTTTTGCGAGTAGTCAAGAATCCATAAAAGACCGCAATCACATTGGAGAGGATTGTTGGAAATGTCCAATTGTCTTAAGCTAGGTAAAACATCAAAACTCCCAAATGTTAGAGTTAATATTTCGTTGTGGTTTAATTTGAGGCGTTCTAGATCTTTGAGGCCCTCAAAAGCCCTTACATCGATATGTTTTATGCTGTTTGCAGACAAATCTAAGCGTCTCAATTTGGGTACTTTTGTGAACTGGTTTTCTTCTAGTTGAGTTATTTGGTTTGAGCTTAGATTTAGTTTTTGTAAGGCTATTAGCTCAACTTTGAGGGCGAATGTTTTGAGATTGTTGTTTGAGAGATTCCTTTTAATAAAAAATACATACAAAAATTGTTATTATAAATATAGGTACTTACAATTGTACTAAATCGCTGGCAAAATTAAGTAACTCCAACTCGTCCAAGCTGGTTATTTTTTCAGTTTCTCCGCAAGTCATTTTAATAAAGTTGCCTCCATCTCGTTGAGGGTTCGATTTGCAACTGCATTTGCTGGAACATTCATTTTCCTGCTGGCCAAAAGCACTTTTTAGGAGAAAAATATAGAAAAATAACAGAAAATAGCTTTTTGAATTTGTGAACATTGTGCAATAATAATTTTATCAACAACTGCAACAACCTAAATTGTTGGGATTCAATTTGTTATAGTGCATTGTATTAATAAATAAATTATAAAAATTTTATAAACAATTTTACTGTTTGACAACAAATGGGGCGGCCATATTGAAATTTCATTATTTGACATTGACTGCAATGTTGCCAAAAGACTTGATAGCTAATGCCATACTTTGACAAGTTGAAAAAAGAAGAATTTTATTTGTTTATATTTAATTAATATGGTTTAAATATTTATAAAATAAAATGTTTAATAAAATGTGATTCAAATACTAAAATAAAGAACAAATTTTCATATAGAATTCTTCATAATTGCTTGAGAATTATGGGTGAGTGAATTATTTATTTATCTTATTAAAATAATTGTTCTTGTTTTTATATTTTTCCTTTTCATTTTTTGTTGTTATTTTCAGATACAACCGAAGAAGTACTGAATTTGTCCAATTCAAAGCTGAAAAAGCTGAACAAAGGCACCAAAAACGAAAACCACTTTACTGAGTTAGTTCTCGACGATAATGAATTACAACGGTTGGATAATATTGATTCGTTTGTAAAGTTGGAAAAGGTAAGTTAGTTTTATTAATTTGATACACATTTATAGGTAAGTTGGTTTAACAATATTTTATGAACAACAATCTAACCAGCCCTTGCAAGGTTGTATTTAACCAAAAAAATCTACATAGAAGCAAGTACAGAAGGCTGTTGCATGTAAAATGTACCCTCAAAACTTAAGAGTGGTTTGCAATCATGAATTTAAAGGGGATTGTCTTCTTATGATGTTCTACCATGTGAAAATAAATAGCCATTTACATTATGGAAATGTTCCCTGGGGATCTGATTTGATTTTTTCCAATATGACTTCAACACACATTTTGCATCACAACTTTGTTAATTTTAATCCGATCTTAATGTAATTAGGCTCAAATTAAAGTCAATTAAATTCACTACAAAGTTTAATTAACAGTTTCAATAGTTTCACAGCTGTGAAGCTTGAAAGTCTTTGAACTTTGCTTTTTATCAAGGTGAGTAAGCAGAAAGAATTTTTTTTTTTTTTTTTCCTGATTTTCAATTTTTTTTTTATCTACTTGCAAAATTTCAATCTAATCCCTGAAGCATTTTCCCGAGCATTTTCCTCAAAAAATAAAAAATAAAACGTCACTCAATGTAGCTTTCGAGGTAGCTTTTTACAAATTCGATCTTTTCAAATATAATATCAACACACATTTTGCCTCACAACTTTGGTGATTTCAATCCGATCTTAACGTAATTAGGCTCAAATTGAAGCAAAAAATCTCTAATTAATAGTTTCAGAACAGCTCCAATAGTCAAGGGATAAATTACCATCCCAGAATTTGTACAAACAATTCCTCAAAGGGGAATTTTTTTCGCCTAATTCCTCAAAATTCCTCCAAATTCCCCACAAATTCCTCCAGATACCCCATCACAATTCCTCCAAATACCCCACCACAAATTTCTCCAAATACCTCACAAATTTCTCTAAATTCAAATCAAAATATGCTTCATTGTAAAAAGAAAAACATCTTATGTACAAAGGAGCCACCCAGGCAATATAAAGTAATCAGAATAAGAATATACACTGGCCAGCAAAATTACCAAACCACTTACTTATTTCTGTTTTCCCTCCAAACTCCTCTCAAATTTCCCACAAATGTCTCTTACAAATTCCCTGAAAATCCCCGCAATTGCTCGTGCCAAGAAATTTATTTTTTCTATTTTAATTTCGCTTAGTTAAAATATTAGAGCAGTTTATCAAGGAGAATGCAAGGATACGTTAGTTGATATTAGAGCTAGAACTAATGATTGGTTTTCGGTAATCCAGAATGCTGATTGGTTGAAACGAGAGGTGTGTCACTTCTGGAATTACTTATTTATTTATTTATTTATTTATTTACGGGCAAGACCCATTAAAAGTTTCAAAAGAAAAAAAAAAAAAAAAACAACAAGAAACATTAAGTACCTTACAACTAAATAAACATAGGCCAGTAATACTTGGCGTAGTAACAGGATAAAAATACATATAAATTATTAACAGTAAAACATTAAATCAGTTATAGGTATAAGAAAATAGAGGACAAACATAAATAATGACTGATCAAGATGACTAGAAATTCTTAGCTATCGAACTTGGCATCACAAACAAACGAGGAGAATTACATTAGAGAGTTAAGCTCTCTTTTAAAGCTATTTATGGGTCCAAAAAAATCCAGGCTACCATGGGTGTTACATAATCGAGAAGTTCTGGAGATGAATGTATTGAAACCATAGTTTGTACGGTGATTTCTTTCTGAGAAGGTTATGGCAGAGCGGGTGTCCCTTGCTGGGACGTGAAGCCCTATTCTGGACAGTAGGTATGCGGAATCACTAATGGAGTTCAGTACCTTGTAAAAAGTATATAAATCTCTTTGATTGCGTCTAGCTGCCAAGGGTTGTAGATTGAAGCGTCTGTATAGGTCGTCATAGTCATATACATAGTTCTCAAGCGAAGGAATACCTGCCTTGAAGGCTAAATAACGTACGAATTTGCGCTGTGTAGTGAAAGAACCTTTAGAATTAAGGCTTTAATAAGCTAAAATTCAATACAGTATTTTCTGACAATAACTGACAACATGACATACAACATACAGGTACATAAATATAGGGAACACAGTAAATAGTAAAGTAATGAAATATATAACATTCTTCCTCGCTCATTTTGTGACATAATCTTGAAGATATGAAGGTGGCCTATGATTTCTCTTTACCAAAACACAACTGGATTCATCAGTAGGTTTCACTGGAGGATTTTCATTGTGTGATTGTTCAGAATTTTGGGGAAGAGAGCAATTTGAATCATTCAAAGGGAACGAAGATGACAAACGTTCTGAACTGACTGATGTAAGGTTTTCTTCAGGAATAGTTAATTCATTCTTATCTTGTTCTGGTAGTGTTATGGTATTTTGATCTTGTTCTGACAGTGTCACATCTCCCCTTGGTGCTAAATGACGAGTTGATACAGTCATTTCTCTACCATTGGATAATCGTACATGAGCATAATCTGAATTTGCTTCCAGAAGATCCACTTCTTCTACTAGTGGATCAAATTTGCTATGTCTAACATGTTTCTTTAGAAAAACTGGGCCTGGGGTGCTCAACCAAGTAGGCATTGAGGTACCATTAGTCGATCTTCTAGGATGGTTGAACATGCGTTCATGAGGTGTTGAATTAGTCGCAGTACACAAAAGGGATCTTATTGAATGTAGAGAATCGATTAAAACATCTTGCCATTGTTTTACTTCAAGGTTTCTAGATTTAACCTTAAGTTGAATAGTTTTCCAAATTGTTCCATTAATTCTTTCACATTGTCCATTTCCCTCTGGATTGTACCCAGTTGTACGACTTGTGGCAACACCATGACTTGTTAAAAATGATTTCACATCAGCAGATAAAAAAGATGCTCCTCTATCGCTGTGAATATAACCTGGTGTGCCAAACATTGAGAATAGTTGAGTCAAACAGTTTATTACCGTTGCAGATGACATATCCGAACATGGAAATGCAAACGGAAATCTTGAATATTCATCTACAATGTCTAGTAAGTATTTGTTTCTATTATTGGAAGGTAACGGTCCTTTAAAATCAATGTTTAATCTTTCGAATGGTGCTATGGCTTTGATAAGAGTTCCTTTGTTTTTATGAAATCTCGGCTTTATCTCTGCACAAACCGGACATGCGGATATAACTCTTTTGATGTCTTCTAGTGAATAAGGTAAATTTTTGCATCTAATCCAATGATAGAATCTTGTGACACCAGGATGACACATCGCGTTGTGTAAATTATACAAAGTTTTCTCTGATGTTGATGGTTGAATAGCAGCAGATATCCTGGAAAGTGTGTCAGCTACAATGTTTTGATTTCCTGGCCTGTATATAATATCAAATTTGTAACATGATAATTCTATTTTCCAACGCAATATTTTCTCATTTTTGATTTTTGATGAACTCTTATTATCAAACATAAATGCAACGGATCTTTGATCAGTTATTATACTGAAATGTCGTCCCATTAAATAATGCCTCCATTTTCTTATAGCTTCGATTATTGCGTATGCTTCTTTTTCTATACTGGAATGATTTTGTTCTATTTTTGTTAAGGTTCTTGAGAAAAATGCGACAGGTTTACCATTTTGTGTCAGTTGAGCACCAATAGCAAAATCAGAAGCATCTGTTTCTACTGTAAATGGAACCTTTTCGTCGATGAATATTACAACTGCATCAATAATATCTTGTTTCAGCCTTTCAAATGCATGAATTTGTTCTCTGTTCATGGGAAAAGTTTTCACGTTTACAATGGGATGTATCTTTTCAGAAAATTTGTATATAAATTTTGAGTAGTGTGCAAACATACCTTGTACTCTTCTGAGAGAAGCAACATTTGTAGGGGCTGCTAAATTGATTAATGGCTGTAGTCTATCCGCATCTGGTTTTATGGTTTTTTTTTCTATTGTATATCCAAGAATATTGATAGTTGTCATTGAAAATTTGCATTTCTCATCGTTTAATGTTAGATTATACTTTCTTGTAATATTCATAAATTTCTCTAAGTTTTTGTCATGTTCTTCTTTTGTTTTTCCACATATTGTAACGTCATCCAAAAATGCATATGTATCAGATAGTCTTTCATTATCTATGATATTGTTAATTATACGTTGAAAACATGCTACTCCATTTGTGACACCAAATGGAATTCTTGTGAATTGATACAAGTTGTTACATGCTTCAAAGCCAGTGTAAATTCGCTCACTTTCCAAAATAGGTATTTGATGGTACGCACTACGTAAGTCTATAGAACTAAAATATTCATATTGCGAAACTTGGCTAATAATTCTATCAATATTAGGTAGTGGATATGCATCTAATAAAGTGAACTTGTTGATTGTCAACGAGTAATCAACAACCATGCGTTTCTTATGATTTACGTTACTTGCAACCAATACTTGTGCTCTCCACGGTGAATTACTTGGTTCAATGATGTTTTCTTTCAATAATCTTTGTATTTCTGTTTGTATAAATCTGTAGTCATCATTAGAAAACCGTCTAGATTTAATAGCAATAGGCTGGCAATTGTCTGTTAAATTCGCGAACAGCGGATAAGGTTGAATATTTGCTGTTACTAGATTACAGATAGAAAGTTTTGATTGATTTCCACCAAAATTGAATTCTACTCCAGAATGATTTTGAAGAATATCATGTCCAATTATAACTTCAGAACAGAGATTTTCCATCACGTAAAACTTGATATTTTTGTACACATGATCTGATATTTTCAAAATCACAATACAGTATCCACAAACAGGAGAATTTAAAGATGAAGCAGCCATTGTGACATTGAGATTCGTAGGAAACACTTTGATACGTCTCTGTGTGGTGACAGTTTTTGAGATATAACTGTCCGAACTTCCAGTATCAATTAATGCATCAGTTGGAATATGATTGACTTCAATTTTAATAATAGCTTTCGATAAACAAGATGTTGAGGCTGCTGACATCATTCCAATCATAGCAGCT